CTGAGAGTTCATTGTTGTTGTTGTTGTTGTTTTTTTTTTTCATTTTTCCATATTTTATGAGCCGAACTCTTCCATGTTGTTACATTATTATTATTTTATATATATATCTACCAGTATTATGTTGCATAATTATTATTTTTATTTTTGTTTTTTTTTTTTTTTTTTTTTAATTAAACTATACACCTACGTAAAAGTCAATGGGCATTGATTTTTATAAGACCTGAGTCGTCATAGTCATCACCAACGTGTTAATATTTTCACAAGAAACACTGAATGTTTTTCTTGTAGTCTTCGTTCGATTAATCCTTACATCATATTCTTACACGCATAATCTTTCTGCATAATCCAGTAATTTAGTTCGTTAATAAGGTCATTAAATAACCTTGTTATTTCTTTTTTTCTTTACCAACTCCTGAAAGGTATTCTCTAGCTGAATCATTTGGGTTCTGGGAAGGCCACTTGACATTTGTAGACTTCTTCAAGCATGACTGCTTGACCCTGACCCTGACTGACAGTAACTGGAGTTGTTGCATTCACTACAACAACTTGTTGCCCTTGTTGCCCTTGCTGGGGTTGCTGCTGTTGTTGCTGTTGCTGCTGCTGTTGACTACTCGCATTGGTTTGTTGTGCATTACTCGGATTATTTGTATTCTGATTTCGAGCAGTTTGACCGTACTTCTCATGAATTGCACGGTGTCGTTTTAACGCGAAACGGTCGGAGAATCCAATCTCGCATATATCACATCTAATAAAAGCAAAAACTTGTAAAATAAATCTACATTGAGCATAATTACACAGAAATGATTCGCTGAAAGATATATTAAGAAACACGCTCACCTATGTGGCTTTTCACCAGTATGTACTTTCGCATGATTTTTTAGGTGCGTCGCTTGATTAAAGGCAGAACCACAGATGTTACATCTGTAAGGTTTTTCGCCGGTATGAATTCTCCTATGATTCCATAGTGTCGAATGTCTGGCAAATGTTTTTTCGCAAACCTCGCATTGATAAGGGCGTTCGCCAGAATGAATTCTTTCATGATTTTTTAGATGAGGACTCTGTGAGAATTGCATCCCACATACAGTGCATTTAAATGGTTTTTCGCCTGTGTGTACTCGTCCATGATTTTTCAAATAAGCAGCTGAAAACATAAAGATTTATCGATCATACATTAATTGTTGAATAAGATTGTATCTTGTAAATTTGTGCATCCAGATTAAGAGTCCAACCAAATTTATATGTGTGTGAGAAATACCTATTAGAAAACATTTTATACAGCCGTCACATGCACATATCCTTACCTTTTGCAAAAGCTAAACCACAGACTTCGCACTTGAATGGTTTATCACCCGAGTGCAACCGCTTATGAGACCAAAGTGAAGAATACCGGGAGAATGTACCATCACATACATTACAGTGAAATGGCTTCTCCGCTTGGTTCTGACTGTTTTGTTTGCCACCTGAAATTGGAAATACGACCAAAATTTTAGTTTTCCTCAAAGGGCCAGTTCTACAAAAAGATGTGCTCAAGGTTGACCTGTGATGCGTTTTAATCAACACGTTACACAGGATTATGCACGGTACGTGTTTCTTTCTTCATGATACATTTAAAAGAGGATCTTTTTCTTTATATACTTTTAATTTATATTTTATATAATAATAATAATAATAATAATAATAATAATATTTAATCATGATAATAACAAAGAATTTATATAAAAAAAAAGCAATGATGATTGCTTGAATTAAATTTATGTATATGTTAATTTATAAACAAAACTTTATATGCATGCACAAAAATGTTAGTTTTTATTACAAAAAAAAAAGAACAAGAAAAAAAAAACAAAAGAAAATAATGAAATACAAAAATTGAATTTATTTAAAATATCAAATATCTCTATTTAAATAAGAAAAAATAAACATGATTGAAATGACCTCTTTTATTTATTTGTATCTTAAAATGAAGAGACTAAGCAAAAAAGAAATTTGAAATAACTTTTTCTTTTTTTTTTTTTTGTTTCGTTTTTCTTTTTAAACAACATTTGGACAACGCTGAAAATTTTGAGTCAGATTTATAAAACTGTCCCTTAGGGGAGATTTCATTCCGTGCAATTGTCCTTAAATTTAGATGTCGACAGTTCTACTGAAGAAATAAAGTAGAATTGACATACCAATAAAAAAGTTATAAAAATTTGTGAAAACATCAGTGACCATAAAAATCTTTTTCTACCTACTACAAATGCATGCAAACATATAAAATTTGAAGCATCAAAGAATTATATAGTATGCAATACTTTAAAAATAAAAATACTTTGGACTGTGTCTATATTTATAAATATATTAATATATATATATATATATCAAAACTTTGTAAATACTTAGAAATACTTTGAATAGACAAAAATGAAATATTTGAAAAAATTCTTTTCAATAGCAGTATAGTTGATATCATGAGAGAAATAATAAATTTCATTATGTTTCACATAATAATTAAATATAAAGATTTTGAACTGTCACCATCCAAAGCAAATATATAAGAGGTTACTTGGATAAATTAATTACAACACAGTAACCCCATATTTTTATTGATTTCCTTTTATTCCGACTTACTTCCTATGATGATGCGGCCTGTTGCCTTGCAGCCGCCACACTTTGCGAGGGAACTGATTCCAGAATCTAGTTTTTCGTCGTGTTTACCTACCATACACCACCCGATGTACGATCATGATAGCAATGAGATGATAGAAATATGGTGGAAAAGTGACAACATTTGAAGAAAGAAATGTTTGCTGGCGTTTCGACTGATATAATCAAATTTGTGGAAACTTTTGAAATTTTTCATTATTTTTCATTTCTTTTCTTTTCTTTTCTTTTCTTTTCTTTTTGTTCTTTTTATTCTTTTTATTTTAATTTTCTTTTCTTCGAAAGATAGTTATAATATAAAAGTAAGTGACGAATATGAAGTTATTAAATCTATCATCTTTTTAACAGGAACATTTCTTTTTCCAAATTATTTATAGCACGAATATATGATGAACACTCACCAATAAATATAATCCCAGTGCCATTACATTTATGACATTTGGTAACACTTGTAACACCCCTTCGTTTTACTGGATGGTGACCAGGTTTAATTGCTACACAAAGAAAAGATTATATATTACACAAGGATGTGATTTCAATGACTCCTCATGTATCTATACTGGTATCGTCATAATATTTGATTTTTCTTTTTCTATATATATTTATCATCAACACTCCATTCAAATAAATTTATTTAGAAACGTACTCTTTTTGATTTTTGTGGGATGATGTTCGCACGGATCTTCACTACCACAATCTTCACATATTTGCACTTTAGGTTTTTGGTGCATATTTGTTTTGTGACTTTTCAATTCCCCAGGCAGTGCAAAACAAGCTCCACACACATCACAAGTATAGGGTCTTTCTGGTGTTGTGGCTACAGTCACTGTCGTTGGTGTTTGTACGACAACTTGTTGCGGTTGTTGTTGCAAATTACTTGGTGTAGTGTTGTGAATCCGTTTATGATGAGTTAATAAACTCATGTGACCGAACACCAGACCACATATATCACATTTAAAAGTTGCATTTGTAGCAGCAGCTATACTCATCTGATTTAATAATGTATTATAGCCAACAGGCTGTACATCGAAACGGTAACAACCTTTATCATCCGTTGTTATAGCACCTATTGTGCTAACTGCGTTTGTCTGGACTTTTTGAAGCATGTTGACATTATAGTAAAAAGGAAATTCGGCCGTAGCCGATTGCTGCTGCGACTTGTCTTCCTTTTTATCCGTAACATACATTTGCTGGGACTGCTGCTGCTGCGACTGTTGACCCTGTGCAGCTTGCTGCTGTTGAATTTGTTGTGGGTCAAACATTGCTGCTTGCTATTAAACATAAAAACAATTATTTCTTTTAATTAAAATGAACATATCATTTTGACTAAAGAAATATGCACACACGTGTACATTATCATGTAAAGTATTTCTTTTAACAATTCTTTTCAATAATTTTTCAAATGGATTATATAATATTAAATGTGTTATTATGTCACAAAGATGTATATTTAACAGTTATTTTGGAATATTTCAATAGACAACTACAAACCTGTCTTTGATCTCCGTAACTAGAATTACTTTGCTCCGTTTGAGTGAAACTGTTGGTTTGTTCAGTTTGAGTGAACATGGAACACTTCAATGGTTGTTCGATAGATTGGTTCTGTTAAAAAGAAAGACAAATTTCAAATGAAATTATTTGTATGTACATGCTGCTTTGACTCAAAACAATAACGATGAAAGAGATTAGTCCTTTTTTTAAGAACCATAAGATGATAACGACATTGATATGATAGCTTAAGTATAGATACATATAGCAAATGTTTGTACGATTTGAAGCGACATGTTCCCTCTTTATTTTAATGCCTTACGTGCTGCGTATACCTGCTGTATTTGATCAGGACGGGTTGCATTCAACCAGACCACGTTGTTGCCATTTGATTCTAGGGCCATTGATGTGATGCCTTAGACCCTGCACAATGGATAGGCATTTATTAAAGTAAGAGTGTCCTGATACCTGTGTCATGGTATCACAGTGATAAAAACCCTTTCTTTTGAAAGATCACCCCCCTGATCGTCAAAGCCACGCCAAGTTAGGATAGTTGACTTCAGAGCGTAGACTGCACAGCAGAGTAGAGCGCAGACCAGGAAGGAACAGTAAAACCAAGAGGGAACCAAAGCATCATGCATATACATATAGTTGTATCTATATATGTATATATATATATAGATAAAATAAAATGTTGAAAGTAAGTACTACTCACGTGCTATGGTCATATAGAGACGGCGCACGGGTTAAACGTCCGGCTGCCGGGCGGGCGACGATCTTCTAGTTGCCATGACGGCGGCGGTGTCGGTGGTCGTGGCGGTGGTGTTGGCGGTGGTGTTGGCGGCGGTAACGGTGGCGGTGGCGGTGCTGGACGACGCGGCGCGTGGTTCCTTTTCGCCGTTAAGCCTCTTAACGCCGATTATTAAGTTTTATCAACTTTCGACTAACTATACCTTATATGCATTCACAAAAACGATAATTTTTGCATTATTTTATGACTCCGTGGACGCGCGCGAGAATGGGAGCAAGCGAGAGAAGGAAGGAAAGACGAGTGTGCTTATGGTGGAGAGAGAGAGAGAGAGAGTGAGTCAAAGATATAGGAAGAGAGAGAAAGATGGAGCGAGTAAGCGAGTGAGCGAATGAGCGACAAGGATAGATGGAGTAAGTGAGTGAAAGAAAGAAAGAAAGAGAGGGGGGAGAGAGTGAGTGAGAGAGATCGATGACGGTCGTACACAGGGGCACACACTAGATATTTTCTTTCAGCACATTCAAAACTTGTATGTCCCTATTGGCTTGCACTATTAACAATATCCCTTAAATAAATGTAGCCTCTTATTCCTTCAACCGTTATTTCTTATAATAGATTTATTTCGCGCCTAGATATCACACGTTTGTCACTGAACTAAACGTTGGCCCGCGCAGATCATGTCGTCCCAAGTAGCGCGGTGGCGGCTGCGGCGAGTCCTGTACGAAGCGCGGGCGTCTCGGTGTCATAAAAATTGGCGGTACCGTGCTATTATCTTGCACGAAAGTTTACCCGTTTTTAATTGAATTATGATCACGCCCGTTAACCACTTATTAACTTTACCTCAGGGTAACGTCAGACGCGACAATACAGGCTCTTCACCGTCAACAAACTTTGCGGTAGCCATTACACGCGACGAGGATAACAATGGGCGACACGAAAGCGCGCTATGGCCCCGATGCCTTTTTCTGAACACCTTCGAGGCGCCTTCCGTACTACTGACCAATCACAACCAAGGTCGGTACTTCGTTAAATCGGGAGAGGCACGCAACAATCGACGCGCCAATTGTATTCATTGGTCGATCTTATATCAAACGACGATTCTCATTGGTTAGTATCATAAGGTACGCTTTCTCTTCTTTTCGGATAATTATTTTATTTTGTCATTATTTTTCATTTATATTTCTTGGAAAATGGAATATTTCTATGCTATAAATAATCTTCGAATTTTCTTTCTAATGCTTTTAAGATTTTATTTAGTATATTTACTTTATTCCTACTTTTGATTTCATTTTTGTTCTTGAAAAGTGTGTAGACAAAGTATTACAGATGTTTTAAATATTATAACATTACTATAATAATGTTATTTGTAATAATTAAATGATAGTTCAGAATTTTTTAAAGTAAGGTCATGTTTCTATTGCAACTAGTAATTTTTTGAGAATATGCCTTGTCAGATAAAACTAGCTTTCCCTATTAGATTAAGTCTCAAGATTACCGTAAGATGGAGCCATTATCTCGGCTAGAGATTTTTTTAAATTTGAATAATATTTAAGTATTTTTTATTACAAATTTTAAATTATTTATTACACATACATATTTCAGCTTGATCTGTATGTTTATTCTATATCATTAACTATCATATTTATTAATTTAATATGATAAATATTTATAATTATCACATACATTTATAATAATAAAAAAAAATTTAATAATTCTTTTAATATTCTAATTCTATTACTTTGATTAAAATGAAAAATATTGAAGAATATTTGGAATAGATTAAAAAAACTATAGAAACATTAAAAGATAATATAAATATAAAAGAAAAATTAAATTTTTGTATCATGTTATATAAGTGTTTATTATATATAATTAAACATATTTCCAAGAGATGTTATTATGTTATATATGAGAATTAGAATTATACTAATTAATTTACGTAATATTAATTTTACATTTCACAAAGCTTTAGTTAAACAAATGAACAAAAATGAAATATTTCTGTTATTATTACTTATGTCTGATTAAACTGGTATATTACTACTTATAACGTAACAAATTTAATTAGTCTTCACCGAGCATCCCTTAAGTCACCCTATTGCAAATCCTGACACACATTTAACAAAATAATTATAATAGAACTGTATTACTAATTTCAAAAATTATTGAATAAATAAAAATCACGTAACTGTAACTAATAATTAAAATAATATAATTGTAACATATACACGTATGAAGTTTATTAAAAAGAACGTTCATGATATTGTAATATAAATAAGAATAAAATTTCTATTCAAATGAAGGATATTTTATTGAAATTGCAGATTTAATTTAAAACTAAATTGCGATTTATATTCGGATATACACGTATATGTGTTTAATATAAATGCGTGTGTATATCTCTGAGTTGCGCACAACGTAGCATTGAAAGCATTTCAAAGAAAGCAGACACCGTAGAAGAGAGAAAATGCTCAGTTGGCGTCGCGACGTCACGGTTTAAGGATCGTAGGATTCGTTTATAAAAAAAAAAAAAAAAGAAAAAAAAAGGACTCGAAAACATTTCTCTTAAAAATTACAAATCAAACTTACAGTGAAAGAGAATGATCAATTAATAAAACGATAATACGTATTGTGAAATATTTGAAAATAAAATAAAATTTGAATGATAGAAAATTAGTAAACAAATTATAATCGATGTCCAAATAAATATGGCCAATCGATTCGAGGGGAAAAAAAAAAATGGGAACAGTAGTAATATTCTAGAAATATAATGTAGTTCGACATTTTCTTTCTATAAGAAAATCAAATATATCGACAAGTGTGTATTAACAAAAAAAAAAAAAAAATAAAGAAAATTCTTACGCATAAATTAATTAAAAAAAAAAAAAATTATAATAATTATCGTTGACCCTATTTTGATTTTTTGGTGATATTATCATTGTGATTTGGTGTTTTTGATTTTGTGATAAGTTTGAACGAAGAAGGTGTTATTTTTCATCAGATTTTTTTTTTTACTACAAATGAAGAAGAAGGAACTATAAAAAAAAAAAATTAAAAAAAAATACATATATATTTTAGACATTTAATATTTCAACGATTCGAAGAAAGTACTATACGAGGAATGATCCGAACATTTTATACGAATCGTTCACGAAGAAAACTAGAAGGACGTACTTACGTCTGACAGTGTGCCAAATATATTCGAAGAATATTACTAATTCATTTCTTTTCTTCTTTTTTTTTTTTCCCCTTCGACTCGTACAACTCGTCTTTTTTTGTTGTTGTTTTATTTTAAAAAAGAAGAAAGAACAAACAAAACAAAAATATTTAATCACGTGTTGTTTCACAATATTAATTTGAACAAATCACAAAATAAAAATAATATCAAATAAGAAGAGAAAGAAAACATACGAATGAACATTTCTTCTTCTTCTTCTTCTAATACATAAATGAAACATCAATGTCATTTATTTCTTAATGAATTATTTCTCACATATTTTTTATACAACAAATTGTAGATTAGATATCTCTAACGCGCGAAGTGATTCGTATTTTTTTTACTTTTTTTTTTATTCCCCGAAAAAAATTAAAAACAAACATACCAAAATATAATCGAGTATCATTTAATGGATATTCCGAAGGAATCAACAAATTCTTTAGTTACAGCAGACATACACACAAACACACACACACACACATACACACTAATCGATCAAATATTTTTATAACGTATCAGAATATTTTTCTTAGTAATTACAAACTCGTGTAATTCATACACGAACTTACACATTTGGGTTCAAATATTTTCTTATACCATGTCATCTAAATTCGTCGTTTCACTTTCACGCTCTTGATATATATATATATATATATATATTTGTTGTATGAATCTGTTAGGTCATTGACTTTAGACGATGTCATCGGAATAATTTTAGATAACCAAAGAGAATATTAGCGAGAAATCAAATTGTCAAGTTTATAAAAAGGGAATACGTATAATTGGAAAGATAAGAACAAAACGCGTGTTTAGATTATTTTGTGGGCCTTATGCACGAGTCTAATCAATATTTTTCTCACACTTTTTAATCATACACTTTTTCATTTAATTTTTTATAATAATTCATAACATGAAATTCTGATTATCAGTTATTCATCGTCGTAGATTGTATTTACATTGAACTTTAACAAAATGATATAAAATATATTTGATGTTTAGTAAAAAAAAAAAAAGCAAAAAAAAAAAGAAGGAAGAAGAACAAATTTCTTATCTATTAGATTAAATTTAAAAAAGTAAAAAATTAGAAACATTTTATATTACAATTACATTTGTATCTTAATAAAAATAATATTATAGATATAAGTAAATGAAAAATATTACGAAACGCACAATTATTAAATTAAAATTTAATTTAAACGAATATTTGAAAGAATTATTGATAATAGGAAATAATTAATTAAAATAATCAAGAAGAAAAGAAAAATAGGGAAGAACTACTTTTTATTTAAATAAAGTTTGTATGTTTTAAGAAAGTTAATGTTAAGTAACATTAAATGAAATCAAATTACGAAACGCCCGCGAATGAATTAGCTTTAATTAAACAAATATTTGTTTGAAAGAACAATACAAATCAAAAATTAAAAAAAAAAAAAAAAAAAAAAAAAAAAAAAAAAAAAAGTAGCGATAGTATAAAAACAATCGTAAAATTTGTACCATACGAAAAATAGTATCACTNGTGAGTGAACCATCGTTTACTCCAGGAGCTAACCTAAACAAAACAAAAAAAAATCATTTCTGACAAAAAAAAAAAAAAAAAAAAAAAAAAAAAAAGTAGCGATAGTATAAAAACAATCGTAAAATTTGTACCATACGAAAAATAGTATCACTCGATAACAAAAAAATATCTAAACAAATTTAGATTTAATTTAAATAGAACAAAAATCAATTTGTGAATTTGTAATTGAAAAAATTAAGAAAATACTTTTTTCATTGTAAAATTTGTATCTTAAAAAAAACAAAAAAAAAACATAACACATTAGATATAAATAGAATCGAAAGATATTATAGAAAAAAGAAAAAAATGTCAAATTCACCTGTTACCAAAAATGTACCACCCAGACCAAAAATTACTTTACCAATTCCGGGTCAATATGGACGTTATCCACAAACACCTGTGGGTTATGCATCAACACCCCCTTATAATCAGACACCTGTGCCTATGACACCCGTACCTATGACACCCGTTTCTGGACAACCACAAGTATTTTATTCCAACAGAGCTAGCGAATTTGTATTCACTCAATTTAAAGGAATCAAAGATTTTACTAAATCTGGACTCAGTGTTGGAGAAAGAAGCGTTTTTTGGTTGTACGAAAAGGTAATATTTTTATCTTTACAAATAAATGCATTAATAAATTCATTTCCAATTATTTTTCTCTTCTCTTTTTTCTTTTTTTTTTTTTTTGTCAGAAATGATTTTTTTTTGTTTTGTTTAGGTTAGCTCCTGGAGTAAACGATGGTTCACTCACATTTTTTTAGTTGTTATTGTATTTTTATATAGTATAGCAGGCGCTATGATTTTTATTACCATCGAGGGAACCAACGAGGATATATTTCATTTTAATATACGTCAAGAAAGGTAAATTTTTTTTCTGATCTTTTAATCAAATAAAATATATGCAAATAGATAACAAAAAAAAAAAAAAAAGAAATTTCTTTTACCAAATTAAAATTATTCTATTTTTCTGTACTCTACGAATTCAATTTATAAATGATATTGTGCATATTTAATTTGTCGTTCATAATAATGTGTTAAAATATCAAATATTATTGGAATGTTAAAATATAAAATAGTATTGTTATTCATATTCACGTTAAAACGATAGATCGTACGATTATGTCACAGAAAATGTGGGACAATTAAGTGTTTGCTTTAACGAGGGAAAAGAAAGAAAGAAAAAAAAAAGAAAAAGAAAAAATAATATAACAGAGAAAAAAAAGGTATGGCAATAGTATGTCAGTAAATTTATATTATTTTATTCGAGACCTGCCCTAAATAATATTCAATGATTCTTGAATTAAATCACTTCTTTTGTGTAATCAAGATTAATAAAAAAATAAAAAAAATGTACAATTATTCTTTATCGAAATAATGTGAATGCATAATCGGTATATTCATATAATAATAATAATAATAATAATAATAATAATAATAATAATAATAATAATAATAATAATAATAATACACTAGAGAGTATAATCCCTGTAAATGATTTCCCTTTTAGTCGCCTTTTACGACAAGCAGGGATTACTGCGGTTTTATTCTTTTCCCCAAAACCGCAGGGGATGTTTATGATGATCGATATATTTATTGAATCGATATGAAATATTTTAGTTTATAATTACCAAAATTATTTTTAAATAGAAAATATCATTTGTTATCAACGTCACAAATATAATACTCACGATTGAACCCAGTGACATTGATAAATTCGATTACGCATCGGTGATAAAGTAGTAATCGTTGAATTTAATATCGCTGACACGATATAACTTTAACTTTAACTTTTAACCCAGGGTTTCGTGTAGATGACTATTTTCTGCAATTTTATGCTACGATCGATTAACCTCAGGACGAAGGTCACTACGTTAAACCAGAAAACACGAGAGAATCGGAACAACTCTCTCTCTCTCTCTCTTTTTTTTACACTTAAATCTTGAAAGACATTTTTTTCTTAGCGTGTTACACGAATGATTCATTTTTATTCACGATATATGTCATGATCCAGATCAAATCTTTTCATTTAACCTTTGTTTATGATAAATCACCCTTTTTATCGATTAAGAAAAACATTGAACGTTTCGACATGCAAGTTTGAATAGAACAATTTGGAATGTTAAAAATTGTAAAAAGGAATGAGGGTAGATTAGTTTACAAAAATTAATGTAACAATTATCTTCTATTATTGAATTTTGTAGAAACAAGACCATCGAACTGATCAGACAACTCTGGGATGATGAAGTATTGACCTCGGATGTGGAACTTTGGAAAGGAGGAGCACGAAGGGAACTTATGAAATATGAAGAAAATCTTTATGAATTTTACAAACTTGGCTTGATCGATCATAAACAAAAAGTGTGGACATTTTGGAATGCTGTTTTTTATTGTGGTACCATTTATACGACTATCGGTAAGTTTTCTTCAAATCCTACTAGATTTTGTTCTTTCTTTTTTTTTTTTGCAATTGAAATGAACAAGAAGAAAAACAAACAAAAAAAAAGAAAAGAAAAGAAAAGTAATACGAATAAACGTTTATTTTCATTGAAGAAAATATTTGATGTTATACTTTGAAGAGAAGAAGAAGAAGAAGAAAAAAAAAAGGAAAAAAATTATGTAACACAGTAGGATTCGAATAAAAATTATCATAGTGTCAATCAAAAATAAAAAAAAAAATAAAAAAAGTAATAAACAATGTGGATTATTGTACTTTTCATCAAAATGATTTCAATAACCATTCGTCAAGATTTACAACTCTCTTTTATAGCTTTACGTTAATTCACGTAAATTTCGTTTGATTTGTTTAACCAAACTGTTACACTAAATCTCTCAGGATATCTCAAATATACAGAAAGCGAGAAGTTAATAGATTCGTGTGTTTAAGATAAACGTATATGTAATTTATAACGAGAACACTATAGTAGAACATTTATTTCTTTTGAAATAACAATCCCAAATCTTTCAATTTAACTAATCTTTGACTCACGATTTCTTTTTATATGAATTTTTTCATTCCTTTCTTCTTCTTTTTTTTTTTTTTTTTTTTTTAAATAATATATATATATATGTGAATGTACATTTTTATACAGAAATATAAATTTTCGAATGTCGAGAGAACTTGCCCACGCGTACTATTTTCAGTAGATCACATTACGTAACGAGAAATAGAAAATTTCAGAAGAAATGATCAAGAAAAGAAGATTTCATTTTAACACGTGCTTCGAATTTTTTTTTTTTTTTTTTAATGTATTGTCTAAAGTATTAATAAAAAAAAAACAAAAAGAAGTGAAAGATTTTATCTAACACATTTGATGACAGATGTTATATTTCACATATAGATGAATCGTGCAATAAAAGTAAGTTTAACTTAATGAATTATTTATCGTTTTACACAATTATCTATAGACAACAACAAMAAAAGTATATTAATGGTTATTTTCTTTAATTAAAAAAAAAAACAAAAAACAAAAAAAAGGAGAAAAGAACCGGGTCAAATTATTCCGAGGAAACAAGTATTCACTCGAAAATATTTGGTCATCTTCCAAAAAATATCATCTGACCTCTCTTTATTTATGTGTATCTTGGAAGTGTCTTTAGCGAGTCATCTCTTTGAGTAGGAGAGAGAATGAGAAACAGTCAGCGACACATTATAAAACTATTTTTAGATTAGACGGCGCCATTATTTTCTCTTACTTTCTTTTTTCAAACTTTATTTATACATGACTTCAAATATTCAGTAATATTAAAATTAACAACGCGATAAAAGGAATAATATAAAAGATATAACAAACCTTTAATGAATAATTAAAACTATGATAAAAAGATACACACAAATTCATATTTAAATATATCATGATATATGATTAAAATATGAAATTAATGATAAAAGAAAACAAGAAATACCATTTAGCAAATATTAAATATGCAAACTATGTTCACGTATAAATCTGCAAATTATTAAACCCTTAAGTTACACGCTTGAGTTAACTCAAGCGGCGTTGTATTCTATGCTGTTATCAAAATTTTGATTAATTTTTGTCCAAAGACAATATTCTAAATTGGGTTTTTGTTTACATAAAAATAATTGATTTGTTTGGTCAGTTTTTTTTTTCAAAAAACAAATTGTGCGTTACGAAGTTAATGAATAATAAATTGAAAGAGAGGGATCAAAATGTAGACTTTATCCTTAAAGGATTTGGATAGAAATGTTACAAATTATCGGACATTAGGAAGGATAAAAAGGATATCACGTGGCGCCGGCGCGTTTGACTAAACGAAATCGAAATGTTGCTACGTAAAACGGGTTGCGGTACATACAGGCGCGGCGCGGAGCGACGCGGCATCGCGACGCCAAGATAGAACATGGTGAACAGGGTGAACAGGGTGTTGTGGTGCATCAATTGCGGCAATTCGAACCTCGCTCGATAACTCGACAACTAAATGTTCCTCCATCCTACCAGAGGACGAGTTTACGCGTTGCGTCAAAACGTTTCAATTCACTTTGGTTAGCAAGTTGTAAGCAGCAACAGAGCAAGCAGCAACTACTTAGCGTTTTCTTCAAAAACTCATCGTGTTACCAACTTGGTATTAATGTTCCTCCTGCTGCTGCTGCTGCTGCTGCTGTTGCTGCGGTAATTTGGTAGTGGTGGGAGCAAGCTCTGGTTTTATTTCTGTCTTCTGCGACGTGCACATATAACTAAACCGTAAGGAAAGACAAGAATTGTGTGAATCAAATCAACTAACGAATTCTTCATCTTCTCGTCATTAGCATTTTTATAATCCCTTTCATCCTATTATGAATTTATCGGTTAGATTAATTGAATTGTTGAATATTTCTTAAATATCAATCGCGCGATATAAAACGACAAAAGATCTATCTGAAAAGTAAATCGTTGACGTTGTTGTCGACAATGGAGGACAGTTACACGGTTCATCGTCGTCGCAAAGCTGCAGCTAAAAGACGTGAAAAAACACCAGAACCATCGACGAGAATTCAACGAATTGAAACAACGTCCGAGGATGAGGATGAAATTAGGAGAGCAAAGATGGAAAAAATGGCAGAGGATACTGAAAGGATGGAACAACAATTGGATAAAGAAAGGAAAGGAAAATCTGATGAGGAAGGACGAGGAAATGAAATGCAGATTGATCAAGAAGACATTCGAGAAAAGAATATCAATTTAAATGATAACAAAAATATTCCAATGGAGGATACGTCAAATGTTACGCGTCAAGAAATACTTTCAACAGCAGCAACAACAACAACAACAACGATAACAGAAACTAATCCTATTGCGAAGCCGCATGAAATCGATAATGAAAAAAATGCACAAGGAAATATTGATGACGTTAAAGTAGCGAGTAAAACGGATAAAGATCCTGGGAAAAAGGATATGAGAATCAAAGATGATGAGAATGAATTTGCCGATATAAGGAAAGTTGAAAAACGTACGAAAAAGAGATCGAAGGATCGTACTATTGAAAGACATCATCGTTCTACGGATTCCAGTGAAGAAATAAGTGACGTTAGTCCTGGTAGAGTGAAAAGTTCGGAAAGTATTAGACCAAGAATAAAAAAGTCCAGTAGCAGAGCACGAATGGCTGTTGATGGTGAAAAATCTGTTCGTGAAAAGAATTTGTTGATTGATTCGAAAATTCGATCTAAAGATAAGACAGATAAAAAATCTGTACAACCCAGTGACCTCCTCAATGAGGATGATGTTCTAGAAAGAGCATTGATGAAAAAAAGCGAAAGTTTTCCACCCAGATCGTTGGAAAGACAACCAGTTGTAAAAAGATCAGCTACCGATGTCAAAAAACAAGTGATACCTTTGAGCAATGATAGCCTAATCGAAGATTTTGCTAAAGCACAAAGGGAATATTTATTGAGAGAACGTAGTATAATGGATCCTGATTTACCAGAAGATTATCAGGATGCAAGTGACGTTGTAGGTATGAGGAAGAGAAAAATTGGTTTGGTTCATACCGAAATTGAACAAAAAGAAATTCTCAGCTCGGTCGAACAGAAACCGATAGAATCGACTAAGAGTTCTTGGTTTCAATTCTTTTGGAGAAAGACAAAAACAGATAGCACTGAAGAAGATAAACTAGTGGATGCCGTACCAACGCAAGAAGTTGACAATTCTGAACAAGAATTATCTGACAAACCAGAGAAAGTTACTTTCTTAGATTTTCTTCGTGCACTCAAAGATATTGTGTCCGAATTAAAAGCTTTTATTGTTCAAAATCCTGCGGAGATACATATAATAAAACAAATGAGAAATCGTTGTATGGCACAATTAATATTGATTATGATTTATTGTGGTCTTGGTGCATTTGTTTTTCGATTTACCGAAGGTGCATTCGAAACATTTTACAAGTGCGGCGTAAAAAGAGTCAAGAGAGACTTTTTGGATAGTCTATGGAATTATAGTCACAATCTCAGAGAGGATGATTGGAAGAGTTTAGCTAGAAGAAAGTTAATGGAATTTGAGGAACAATTGCACACCGCTCATGAAGCTGGTGTACATACTTACAGTGGACAAAGAAGTTGGACCTTCTTAAATGCTGTTGTTTATTGTCTCACTGTGATCACTACTATCGGTGAGAAGATCATTTCATGAACGAACAAAATATGTCCAATATTATAAGTTTTCTAGATGTTTTTGATTAATCAAATTAGGACACATTTATTAACTTGCAGGATCATCTCTTGTTTTTTGTATTTTTTCTCAAAATAATATTGTTGTTTGAATTCTGTTTTATTATTAAGGATAATCTAATTAATTGATATGTTTCATTTGTGTTTTAGGATATGGTCATATTTCACCCAGCACTACAACAGGAAGAGCAATTACCATTGTTTATGCTATATTTGGTATTCCCATGTTCCTCATTTTGTTGGCTGACTTTGGCAAACTATTCACACGCGGTATAAAGTTCCTTTGGGCATTCGTAAGAAGGCTTTATTATACTGGAAGTTGTCGAAAAGTTCGTCGGACTGGTCCTGTACAGGTATGAACTAATATCATTTCATTAATTATATACTAATGTATTTTTGTTTTAACATACAAATTAATGTTTCGATAAAAATATGTTAAAAGGAAGTAATGAAAGGTGTCCAACTGGTGTACGACCTAGCAACGTTTAGAAGACCATCCCAAATGAATCCGGAAGATATCGAAGAAATTCAAAAACAACAAAGTCAACAACAACAGGCTGTTTTAAATATAGACGGGAATGCACCACCAGACACACCGGGTACACCGGCTATGTCAACGTTTGCTATTGACGATGAATTTAATCTTCCTATATCAGTAGCAATATTTATATTACTTGGTTACATCTTCGTTGGTGCTACGCTTTACAATACCTGGGAGAAATGGGGCTTCTTCGAGAGCTTCTATTTTGTTTTTATTTCAATGAGCACTATTGGCTTCGGTGATTACGTGCCAAAGGTAATAATCTCTTCTTCTTTTTTATATTATTTATATATATAAATCAATTATAAATTAATCAAACTAAACACGAGATACATTTACACACATCCACACACACACACACAGAGATACACATACATTAATTTTTGTAAAGCATAAAAAAGTACGAGCATGAGTAAAAAATTGACCGTAGTATCTGGATTATTAATGTTTATGATTGAAAACAAAGAAAAAGAAAAAAAAAGTATGTTTAATATAAAATGAATATTATTCAAATAATTCTTCTAAATTGTGTGAACGGTGTATGGCACTTTAGATAAAGCCTGCATATCCGATTTAATTTGCTTCTAGCAATTATTTTGATGCGAATGTTATCAATAAATGACGCATATCATATCATTTATAATTATTAATCTGTAATTATTCCTCGCTGATTATTTATATTATTATGAAATTAATTTTCTTTCTGCTTTTGTTTTTCACGGTGGTGTTCAGACGGTAAGCTTGAATAAATTTCAATGTTGCTTCAATTTTTGATATTGCACACTATGTATTCGCACACCGCTTTCCCGATAGTTATTTATGCACTTATGCACTCCAATTGATATGTCCAATTAAAATATTATATACAATTTTTAATTGTAATATTGTACAAAATGTTATTTTGAAATATTAAAATTAATTTTATTGATTGATTTAGCATCCCATGTTTATGATGTGTTCGATAATATACCTGGTATTTGGTCTGGCACTAACTTCGATGTGTATCAACGTTGTACAGGTCAGTATCATTTATTATTTATTATATTTATATTATATTTATTTATTAATATGATTTAATCGACAGGTGATGTTGTCGGATTCGTTTAAACAAGCGAGTCAAAAAATTGGTGCTACAATCGGTTTTGAAATTACGGATGACGATGGTTCGATCAAACCTGCACCACCACCACCGGTTGAAGTTGCTGATATTCATACATCTATCAAGGAATCCATTGAAAAAGGAGAAATTATTGAAAAAATTGCACCTAAAGCCAAACAAGAGGACGTTGATCTATAATACATTGAAACAATTTTCTTCTTTTTCTTATTATAATAATAATTATTATTATTATTAAGGGATACATTTAATTGATTTTTAAGTTCTTCCTCGAAAAGGGCTTTAAAAGTGTGTATCTCAATTTTGAACAATTCTAATCGTCCGCTTGCTTGATCAGATGGACTTTCGCTTCTATTATCACAAAATTATACCGAGTGTATTAATTATCTTTAGTCAATTGAAATATTAATTTTAATTTTATTATTAAAATTAAATTAATTTAATATTAAGTTTATAATTAAAATTAATATTAATATTAAGTTTAATTTTATGAAAGAACAAACAAATGCTTGGAATAAAATCGTACACCTTTTTTTTTTTGTTTTTCCAAGGAAAAACGAGTATTTCATGTGAGAAAGAATTTTTTTTTTATCTGAGCCTTTTTTTTTTCTTCATAAAATTACAAATGATCAAAATATTTCAATTGATAAATTTAAGTGATACACCCACATTATATGCGTGATAGCGTGATATTTACATATATATATATGAAAAAGAAAGACATAAGCTTTCTCGTAAAATAATTAAAAAAAAAAGAAAAAAAAGTTACAAAAAAATTCCCTTTTCTATCGAATAAAAGGAAGCGAAGTAAAAAATTACAAAAAAAAAAAAAGAAAGAAAAAAAAAGAAAAAGAAATTAAGAAAAACATTTCTGCACAATGTGAGCGGCCTTATCGTCGTAGTAACTTTTGCTTAATTAATTAATTAATTAATTTATAAGAGAAAATTATAAGAGACATGTTTTTAAATAAACAAACAAATTTCTTCTATACACACATAGTAGAATTTAAAGCTATCACATTTGTTTGTTTCGTGTGATAAAAAATCATTCGTTTAATTAAAAAAAAAAAAAATTGTCAATGTTCTTCTTGTCAGTGATTAGTATTGTACAGATAGTATAATTTTTAATGTTAAATAACATCGATCATTTTATATAATATCTTTGTTTTTAATTGATTACAAGTGAAAACAAAAGTCAACTGTGAAGAAAATGTCTATTTCAATCGTTTAATAAGCATGCTTATTATTTATTTTTATTTGATGATTCGTTCGTTTAATAATTATTGTAATTTGAAAAGATAAAAAAAGGTGACTCAACGTTAATCTAATATCTGCTTTCGATGCATAATATATGAAAATGAATTTATCTAATTATCCGATGTAAATTATTCAAAATTTACACAATCATATTTATAAGAAAATAATATTACTTCAATGAAACCGCGTGCGTCCATTGTTAATTGTAAAATAGATCCATAGAAATTATATAATATGTAAATGTGAATTATTTTTTTTTGGCAAATATTTTATTATTCATAATATTGCCTATTATAATTCCAATGGCTATAAATAAATATTAAAGCGTTGGCGCTTTATTTTTTAATATAAAATAATAAATAATATAAATCATAATAAATAGATTAAAATTTAGTTCTGACTGATTATTTACGTATTTTTATTTTGTCGAATCAATTATCTATTTATTTTTGAAGCATATAAATATTCATTTGTTGAAATTAATAATAATTTCAATGAATACGTCGAAAGGTTAACGATTTTGTTCTTTTTATTTCAATATTTGCACGGAAGATTTCTTTAATATTTTTATCTCAAAGCATCGAATTTAAACTGCAATTTACCTTCTTCTATCCATTAATCCAGTGAGATTATACAAAATATAAAAAAAAATAAAAGATAATAATAATAATAAAAAAAAAAGAAGAAAATCGTGCCTTTTTGAAAGTCTACTGTATCAGCTGTTTAATGTTTATCTAATTCCTATGACACACACACACACACACACAAAATTCATATTTGTAAAAGCTAGTGTGCAATTTATAAAAATGTTGAATGAATAAACAAAATCGAATGCCTATTTTTTTTCTCATTATATTTTAAATGATAAATAAATTTTATGTGCGTGTAAAAATAAAATGTATTGTGCTTTACCTTTTTTCTCCTATCAAAATATAATTATTTTATTTAATAATTAAATTAATTCATTAAAAAATGCTTTAAGTAAACGTGACATTTATAATTTGAATTTACTTGTTCTTTTTTTTTTATAACAAATTATTACGTCTCCATCTTTTTTTTTATGTTCAAAGATATGAGTTAGATGTTATCCTTTAAATCTAATGATTTTAAATATCCTGCAAAGAGCATAAAACATCAAAAAATTCAAATGTAAAATGAAATATAACAAAATAATAATAATAATTAATTGATATTAAAATATTATTATGAATATAATAAATGAAAAAAAAAAAAAATTGAATTTTTATTTAATTCGCGCTTATTTACTAATAAACATATGTCAATTTAAGAAAAACAATATGGCTACGTTACGATTCAAAATGGCTGAAGGATGACAACACGGTGTAATCAATTGAAGGAACAATTGAATGTTACGAAAATAAATTTGGAGGGAAAATGTCTCATATTCAGTATGTCGATGAGTTGGTCAAGGAGTATTTATTATTTCGAGGATTTAGTCAAACTCTGAAAGCCTTCGACAACGATTTAAAGACCGAGAAAGAAAAAGGTTTCAGGGTGAGGAACAACAACAATATATAAATAGAAAAAGAAATAAATTCAACACAAATATCAATTATTTGTAATGCACTATCGATGAAAAACAAATTAGCATATTTTTACGACACTTCAAATTCATTATTTAATAATAAGAATTCATTTGAAATTTCATTGGTCAATGTGTTTAAATACAATTTCAAAACAATTACTTTCAATGCATAACCTTTTACTTAAAAATAAGTAGTGAACATTTGAAATGACCGTTTTCATTATTCATTTTGTTTTTTGTTTTGTTTTGTTTTATTAGGTTGATAAAATAGTTGATCAACTGATGCAATATATATTCACATATGATTTAACATCTCTGAGAGAATTATGGGGACACTTGGACATTAGATTGTTCTCTCGTTTAGAGAATCACTTTACTCCAGCGATAAGAAAATTAGAGAATGCTGTATTAAAAATGTATCTGGTTAATGCGGCTGTAAATAATAAATTAGATCGTATTCAAGAATTTTTTTCTAAAATGGCACCAGAATTGCAAGGACATTCAGAATGGAAAGAATGGTTTGGTACGATATAAATACTTTAATAATAATCATTATCAACGAATATATATATAAATTTATACATTAATATTATTTAATTTTGCAGCATTACCATTTATTAAAAATCCAGAAGAAAATCCAATTTATTCGGCACATTTTAGTAGACAATGGCAAGATACTATGGTGGTTTCTTTACACAATTTTCTTGCTACTATCTTTCAAGTAGGTAAATTTCATGTTTTCGAATATAATTGTCGTTAATTGATGATAAATTAACATATGTTATTTATGTAATTGATTAAATGTTTACAGTGTATGCCACAACCAACATTATTAACGATAGATGAAGATACTAATAAGTTAAAACGTTTGCAAGAAGAGAACGAAGCGTTGAGACAAAAATTAAATGAACCTATTAAAGTAGAAACAATTTCCGATGTAAATCCAGGACCAGTACCGCAATATCCGTCAATGGATGATGTTATGGATGATTTTTACATCATTGCTCAGTATATATTATTTGTTGACCTAACACACTAAATAATTTATATAATAACATTATTTTTGTTTTCTTCTTTTTTTTTTTGTTTTCAGAGAATCTCCTTTAATGGAAAATCCTAAAACACTGAGAAGTTTAATAAAAAATATAGGAGGCGGTTCTAGTCCAATTTTAAATAGAAAATCTGCAACAAATGTTAAAAAACATACAGAACCTGATATGACGTCTACGAAAAGAACGAACACCAAAGGAAGATTGAATTCAGTTGCAAAAACTGAAGTAGTTGCTAAAAGGAGCATAAGTTGTGATTCTCGATTAACTAGTACTAGAAAAAGGGATTCATCTATAGATACTACTGTTGAAAGAAAAACTAAAGAGAAGATGGAGTCAACTTACATTCTATTAAGTCAGGTTAATTAATTAATAAATTATTCAATTATTTATATATTACAATGACAATGATAATTATTTGTATGTTGTGTAAAAATATTTTTTCAGGAGGAATATACAGAACATAAAGCATCTATTATTCAATGTAAAAGCAATGCGAGTGGTTCGTACGTGGCAACGGGTGATATCGATGGTGTTATCAAAGTATGGACACCAATTCCGTCACCAAAGTACGTATTTTTTTTTTTTTTTTACATACTAATTAACAATATTAACTCTTACATTATGTATTAAAATCTGCTAAATTGTTTCTATTTCATTATTTAATTAGAACCGTCACGACATTCTCCTCACCTGTGGCAAACACGAATAAAGCTATAACTGCATTAGATTGGATAGCAAAAAATGAACGTTACTTTTTACATGGTGATAATAATGGTATCATTCAGTTACACGATACACGTGATTGTAAAACACTTTGGGAAATACAACACGAAGGATCAAAGATTATAACATTACTTTGCAATCCAACTGATTCTACATTCGTATGCTCGGTGACTGATTTTACGGAAAGTAAATTACTTTTATATGACATTAAATCGATGAAATTAGAAAGAATTTTACCTACAGAACAAGATGTAATAGCTTTGTGTTCAGCGTTTAATCATAATGGACAATTGTTGATCACAGGAATGTCTAATGGCAATGTATTGATACACGATTTTAGACAAAATGAAATAATCAGTAATTTCAGTTCTCATTCAAGTGCAGTCATCGATATTGAATTGATTAATGACTTTAATAATTTTTGTACACGAACCCAAGATGGAAAATTGTGTCAAAGAAGTTTAAATCATTCAGGAAAGATATTATGGGAGAGTAAAATTAAAATAGAAAACAACGCTTATCATGGAAAATTATTTACCTTCGATCAAAGTGGAAATTATATGTTACTTTGTACACAAAACGGTGGTAATATATACAAAGTAAGAGTCATAATATTTTTTATACACGTTATATAATATAAAATGAACATTTCAATTTAAAATTACTAAGAATATTTGATACATTACAGACACCACCTAGTATGCAAACAAAAGTTTTAGAACTTGGTGGACATAAAGGAACATTGTGTTGCGACTGGTCTAGTGCTAATCAATCTGGAACATGTATTACCGGTGGTGCGGAAGGAAAAGCAAGAGTATCGACATTATTATCACCATGATACAAAAATAAAATTAGCATATGTGTAAATTCGTGAGCGCGGATTAATTGAAAAAGAAAAAAGTTAGCAGAAGAGAGCAATTATGTAGATATTGATTTTGTTTATATGTAATTTATTCCTTACTAATTTTAAATCTAATAATAGTATTAAAATATAGAAATAACTATAATATATCATAAATATAGACAATATTAGTAGGAAAGTCAAATTATTTTATAAAAAGTACAATTCAATACCAATGTATCATTTTCCTATATAACATCTAATAATATTTAATAGTATTTTATTTTTTAAAACATAATTAACTTACTAATTAGTAGGATGATGAAATTTATAGAAAATGACTTATTAATAATATAAAAATGTAAAATGTGATCTTATATAAGTTTAGTGTTAATAGAAAACCAAAAAAAAAAAGGAAAAAAAAAAACATAATATGTACAGAAAACAAATGTCAAAGTCAATAAATGCAAGTCAATTTTAATACGAATGTTACCCGAGTATTATATCTCATCATCCGTTTATTTAATTTAATTAAAATACTATTACTTTTATTGAACGATCAAGGACATAAAATTCTTTAAAATCTTACCTCATTTACGAGTACAAGTTTTAACAAGAAAGGAATTTTAAATGAGGTGGATGTACTGACCAACGATGGAATGGTCCTGTCATATTTAATTGTGGTGACCAATATCTTCTAAGAGCTTCATTTATTTCGGCTGGTGTTATCGGCTTGGTTGTATTACCCTAAATAAATAGTTGTTATTATTTTTATTTCCCTTTGTCCTCTTCTAAAGTTGGCTCAACATATTATGAAACACCCTGTATCTAGAAAATAGCTAAGGTATTTAAACTAATTATATATTACTAACCTTTCCATGATAATACGGTTTATATGTATACGGATTAACATAATGAAGTTTAAGACGATCAATGGCATCTCCATAAATTTTAGTTTGATCTTGTCGTACTAGAAAAACAAGATCAACTATTTGTGCAACTGTTTCGTATGCTAAATATCCCAAAACTGTATAACCATCTTTGGATATTGTAATATCACCTGTTAATTTTATAAATTGTATTAATATATAAATGGAAAATAAATTCTTGACATGTTAGCTGAAAAATTAATTACCTTCCATACAGATCCATTCATTAAATTTCTGACGGTTCTTGTTTGCGAATGATGCATTACGTGCACTACTAAATTTTAGATAACGAGCTTCATCCATTGAACGTGTCATCATTTCGGCACGAACACATCTGTTTAATTTAATTTCATCTATAACAGATTTATTTTCCATAAGTTCTCCAGTATTGTCTATCGTTTTAATAAAATCACGATATGCCATCTTTGATTTAGAATTCTTTGATTGGTCAAGGTCTACAATATCATTTACATCATCGTCTTTCACAACTTTATAGACACAATTTTTCAGCCGTTTCATTGCTGCAAAATAGAAAATAATAACATTAATGAATTCAATTAAATATTATATATGATATCATATATGAATAAGTATTATACTATAGAATATACCTAAATATTTAAGTAATCTCTGTAATTTAACTTTATCTTTGCGTAACAAAAATATAAAATCTTCTGCTCCAACAACATTAGACTTCTTCAATACTCCACGTCTTTCAGCATTTTCACAGGCTTTCCTTACAATTGCTCTCATTTGATGCAATACAACTTCTTCTATTATTTTTGCTGATTCTTTTAATGGATTACTAGAATCACCAAATCCATGCATCATTTGTCGAATTTCTATAATTATAAAATAATCAAAATTAATTGCAGTTTCTTAACACTATAGAATAACATAATTTTATTTATTATAAATACAGAATAGTATGTTATCCATATATATTCTTAACCTATAAATATTAATCTACAAACCAACTAAAAAATTATTTGCTTCAGATTTATAATAATTATTGGGAGTTTTAGAATCAGATGCTTCAGCCATTATTAAATAATTTAATTAACAATTTTTAAATTAATAACTAATATTATTAGAGATATTTCTAATTTCAGCAGTGATATATACAACACAATTCAAATACACAAAACACGAATGTTAGAAAGACTACATTACTCAATCGATAATCGAGAATTTCAGTTACCAATCAAATATTATCAACCGAGAGTCGATAATAGTAGACAACTTCTTATTATTTTTTTTTTTTTTATTTATAATATAGTTTTTTAGAGTACTTAATTAGGGTTAAACTGTACTTTTTACCAATAATAAGTATTTTAAGACAGATTTGTAAAGCAGAAGTTATATAACTTATATTTATATATATATATGCATGATTCGACACAGAGATTCGGTAAAAATATAATTGAAAATAAATAATAATAAATATAAATAACTTACGAGTTATTAATAATTGAAATTATAATATCTATAATTTATATACATTGCATGAATGCATCATATAAAAATGTTCTTTTATTCTGTTTGTAAAATATCTTCTATATCTGCTTCTAGGTTAGAATCATTAGTAATTGGTAATGTCTTTTTTGGTTCTGTACTATTTAATTCTTTCTTTTGTAAATTCCTAGGTGTTGGCATTGGAAATTTGGTACTGTTAACTTTAGAATTTCCTGCCAATTTAGGACTCAAATTTTCTAAACTAGAACTACTAATACTGATTGAACTTAAATAAGGATATTGTGCATTTTTATTATCCTGGGTCTCTTTCTTTTCATTATCCTTTGAAAATAAAGTTGAAGGAAACATTGCTTCAATAGATCCTACAGGCTTCTTTCTGGATATAGACAACTGGAAAAGAAATATATTATTTAAATAAATATTTAAACAAATTTTGTAGGAAACATTTAATTATTAGTAGTAGGATTATTCTTAGGTTACCTGTTTTTCTATTTTTTTCGAAATTTCTGCTATTTTTTCAGCTTGCGTTGTCCTCAATATAATATTATCAACGCTAGGAGATTTCCGTTTTTGAAATGCTTGTACCTTTTCATCGGAAATGCTTTCAATAAAAATAAAATTAAAATATTATAACAACGTGTAGTTGTAGTAAATAATAATTAATGATCTATCGTAATAAAGTACCTTGAAATATTCCAGTCGCTATCATTTAGTTCTGTTTGCTGAGATGAAGATGTGTGTGATGACTCTTTATCATTCTTATCCTTGAGATTGAAAAATACTTTCTTTTTAGTTGAACTACCAACTGAAACTGTTGTTGATTTTAATGCACCCTTATTGTTTTTCGGTGAAATAACAAAACTTTGTGTTTTTGCTTCTTGCATCTTTTTTAAACTAGTTGAGTCATTTTGCTTTGGTGTAGATGTCTTCTGAACTTCCCCGTTCATAAATGTTACTATATTTGAAGAAGTTTCTTCCGTTTGGTTTTTTTCATTTTTATGCAGATCTATCACAGATTTTGCACTGTTCTCTGAGTTAACAAACATTGAAAATATTTCATTTTGATGAATTTCATTATTCTCCTTGCTGTCAACATTTTCATTCTCTTTTGGTACAATCGAAGACTTTCTTGGAATTTTAAATGTATCACGCGCATTTAAATTTTTATACTCTTCGTCTTCTAAATCCATTTGTACTTTTTTTGGTGATATATCTACAAAATTATACAGATAATATTCAATTATTTTGTGTATGCAAACATAAAGGACATTAAATTTATACTAACAAGAATTTTTTGGTATATTAAATGTTCTCATAGCTTTCGATTTAACATTAGTCATAAGTATATCCAATGGTGATTTTTTAACTGACTTAGATTGATGTGATATGTTATTTTTAACAGAAACCCTGTGAAGAACTTCCTTAAGTATGTTACGCTTTACTTCATTATATTTATGATATTTCTGTAAACATAAAAATAATCATTAAATTTGTTAAACACACCCACACAAGAATACTTTTGATTTAATATTAAATTTACCTTAGAATAAATACTTTGATGATGTCGAATTATTTTCATTTTTTGTTTATACGATGCTTCAGGTATCTCACTCCATTCTGGATCTATTCCTAAATCACGTAATTTTTGGTGAAACGTTCCTAGTATATTTTTTTTTAATTTTTCAAGAGAAAGGCTATCATTTTGAGAAGTCTTCTTCGATTTAGGTGGAGAAGATATTACTTCATTTTTATTCGATGATACAATGTTTTTTTTAACACTGATAGCTTCTGAATCACTTTCCGTTTCAGATTCTGTTGTAGTATAGCTTGACGTTGCAGAACTTATAGCTTGGTTATCAAGGAAACTTTTTTTAGATGTTTTATTATTTTCTACGTTAATTGTACTAACTTTAGAATCAACGCTTTCTGAACTTGACTCCGAAGATTCATTATTATCATTATTATTTAAAATACTTGGAATACTATCGCTATTGGAATGAGTTTTAATGGAATCATTTTTGGAATGTTTTGGTTTACGATTAATCTGATTATCATTTTCTAATTGAGATACATTGACTACGTTGAGACTTTCTAAAGATTTATCAGTATCTTTTGTTTCATGATAATTTTGTGAAATTTTTGGTACTGATAATAATGATTCAATTTTTGATTTCTGTTTTAATATACTATCTGTATTTTCAATATTAACTTTTTCTCCAGAACCGTGTTCTGCAATTTTTTTATTTAGAAAATGCATATTTTTACTATATTGTATCATGGGTGTTACAATATTATCTGTCTTTTTATCATTATGAAAATATTTATTTACATCCGTTTGTATTAATGAATTTTGTAAACCATGAGACAACGAACTAAGCTGTTTACTTTGTTCCATTAAAATACTCGATTGATCTTTAGATTGTTTTTCCAAGGCACTAACTTTAAATTCATATTCGGCTTTAATAAATTCCGCTGCCTGTTGCGTTAATTTTAATTCCATTGTTATTTTTTCGATATCTAAATGATGCTGACGATCCATCTGTTGTATTTTAGATCTCCAATAATCTTCTTGCGTTTTAAGTTTGTCTTGCATTTTTTCTATATCCGGAGTAAGCTACAAATAATATAATATAATATTTAACATGCATGGAGAATTTAAATATATTATTTATTTCTATATGTATACCTTTTCAAGAAGTTGATTTCTCAATCTTTCTATTTCTTTTTCTTGTTGACTTACTAATAATTTAACATTTATCTCAGGTACATTACTATTTACTGCATAAGGACTTTCGTTTCTATGCCTTAAATTCTGTAAAAAATATAAGTTTTATAATTAATTTGAATATTTTTAACAGATGTTTAAATATGTGTTATTTATATAAATCATTTTCTCAAACCTACACTGATTTCAGATAAAAGTAAACTTTTCAAATCGTTTATTTCTTCATTATTTTTTATTTGCTGTTTTTCTATTAAATCATATTTATTTACATTATATCTAATACTATCATTTTCACTTTCGTTTTCTTTATCCTTGTTATCTATTTTAATACTATTCGATGTTTTATCTGATTCATTTTTTATTACTTTCTCAGCCCGATTAAGTCGTTCTTTTAACATTTTTATCTCGTTATGCAATTTTTCAGTCTCAGTTTTATAATGATCGTGTACAGGTGATGTTTCCGTAGATAAATCAATCATATATGAATGACGACGAGTTATATGAGCTTTAACACATGTATTTGAAATAAATGATTTAGGACAATGTGGACACTACAAATAAAATAAAATATATTAGTAAAATTAATAATTTCTTAATGTAACAATATTATATAAAATTAGCAAATTTATTACCTTATGTATTTCACCATTGGAATCTCCAATCTTTGTTTCGATCACTCTACTCCTTTCTTTATTTTTATCTTTTAAATTTTTTATTATCTCTTCCAAAGCATTCATTTCTTTTCTAAGCCTATGATTATCTTCGATTTTTAATTTCAACTCATCCTTCAATATTATTACGCTTTGGTCTAAATACTGTTTACAATAAAGCAAATATTCCACAGCTAATTGTGCAAGGCGAAATACTTTAACGAAATTAGAATCTAATATTTTTAAATCGTATTCATTTTCCAAATTATAATTAATAACATTATTAATATTTTCATCTATGGTTACAAAATCTCTATCTATTATTAATCTGTCTATGTCGATGGAACCTAAAATATAAGCTTAATTATAGCATAAATGTATTCAAGAGTCATTGCTAAGAAAAGTGCAAGTATTAACATACCTATACGATTCCAATCAACATGAATCCTAGATCTATGCGTATTGAAATGAAAACCTGATTCCTTTGCAAGTTTTGGAAAATTGTGACACCACTTGGTACCAATATGAAATGAAAATGCCATTGTTGTATTTACAGCTGTACCTTCATTAACACAATAATCTTGAGATACACTTCATTTAACTATAATATACTTATTGAATAACACATAATCCACAAAATTATATAAAATAGTGTGATTTATAATATCAAGTATTTTAATTATTAACATATTCAATATATTTAAATACATATAAATTTATATATATATATATATATATGTATACTAATATAATAAATCTTTTGGATTTATAAACTAATGCATCTTTTGTAATCCATATTATGTAAATAATGTAAACAAAGCTGAATTTATTAAAAAACACATTAGGTTATCTTCGACAGGTGTCTGACACAAGATGGTGTAATGCGCATGCGCCACTTGCGCTGTGGAATACGGAGTGGATGGTGTAATGCGCATGCGCTACTTGCGCTGTGAAATACGGAGTGGATGGTGTAATGCACATGCGTCAACCCGCGGTAATCATTTCATTTGTATTATGTATTATGTTTCTTGGTGCTCAATTTTTTCCGGTGGAATGTGTATTTGCATCGCTTTGATTAATTCCAGGTAATTAACAGTTTCTTTTCTAATATGCAACCTCAAATTATATATCAATCGATAGCTGTATAGTAATTACAGTTTTTAATAATGTTTTAACAAATAATTTTCAAACCAATATATATATGCATCTAGGTGCAGTATGGGTAATTTATACATGTATAGGTATGCATGTATATGCACTCTTTATACGTATGCATATATATGCACTCTTTATACGTTTGCATATATATGCACACTTATAGATTCAATTTTCCTTATTTAATACTAATGTAACCTTACTTTTGACAGATTTCCAAACATTGGAAGAGGTTAGCACAAAGAGACATCCAGCTTTATGACTGTATTTATTATTTCTTTCTTCGTTGCATAAAGGTACGCCTATCTCTTTTTTAATAATACAGCGAAGCGTATAAAAAGAGAAATAGGTAGAAAGAAAGAGAGAGAGAGAGAGAAAGAGAGAGAGAGAGATAAATGTAACCTAGGATCTATGGTTGTTTGCATGTATAGGTTAGATGTCATTTTCAATCTTTTGTAATGTATTTCAAACTGTTAATAGCTCTATAAATAGTCAGAATTTTTAGTATAAAATTATTAATGTTCATTTATAAAAAGTATTGTTTAAAAGTTTATTATTCATATACACATATTTAATGGATTCTGATAGAAAACAATTGATAAAAGATTTTACACCTAACCCATATAGTGTAAAATATAATGAAATTGTAGATCATTTGTTAAAAGAATCAGTCGAAGATTTTGAAAAGAACGGTAAATGTAAGTGTTTTAAAAATAAAGATATTAGAATTGAAATAAAAAGTTATAATAAATATAACTTAAAAAAAAAAATGTTAATAAAGTTTCAGATAAAATATTACTAAAATTATATAATGTTTTTGGTGAGGTATTTGAAAGAGCATTAGAGTTGTATGAAGAAAAACGTGTAACACACATTTCTTCATCAACACCTGTCGCTAAAGGAGATTGTTATAATAAAAATAATGCTCGTTGGTTGTTACAAGTAAAAGGTTTTTCAGGAATCATATATACGCTTTTCCCTGAAATCAATTTTTGTACATGTCTTTCGTTCAGGTATAATTAATACTTATTATATGATTAAATATCTTAGTGAGATTATCTTTATCACTTATCCTTTTTTTTAGGAATCAAGTAATAGATAACAGAGTAATATTTACTTGTAAACACGTTTTAGCTTGTTGGTTAGCTACAATCGATAAGGAAAAATTATTGTATCAACAAATTACCTCACAACAATTTCAACATTTTTTATTGTATCAATCTTTCTCTAATCATGCAGACAGCTAATATCAATGATTATAAATTAATGGCTAAATTAGGTAATCTTAAGACAGTAGTTAATTTATTAAAATCAGTCAATTTCAAAGAGGTAAATATATACATATGTATCTTGTTCGTAGATACAATTTTTGAGTGTAGATTATTTTGCATATTTATTTTTAGACTGCCACATGTTTCGCTACAGAAAATGGAATAAAAGTAACTGTCGAAGATGCCAAATGTATGCAAGCAAATGCTTACATTTCAAAACCTCTTTTTGTAGAATATTATTTAAAGGAGGATCTTATTTTCAAAATAAATTTAAATATTCTCGTCGAATGTCTTTGTATGTTCTCGGGTAATTTAAATATATTAGGAAGCTACGTTGCCGTAGAACTTTTTTATAAAGTATGAAATCATTTCTTGCAAATATAGACAAATTTATTTTTTTTTTTATAGTAATTGATAGTTACACATTAATTTTAATTTACCTAGGGTATTGGTAATCCATTGAGCGTAGTTATTGAAGAAAATGGTGTTATAACAGATTGTTCGTTGAAAACTCAAAATCCAGAAGGTTTATTAGATTTTTATTTAGAAGAACAGAACGTTTATAGTAGAGTCGTGTTAAAAACAGAATTATTAAAGGATATCTTGACTGAGCTTGATCCAACGAGTGAGATAATAGAGGTAAATTATGTGGATAGAGATTAACAATTGTATGAAATGTTTTTTTCTTTTAAACTACAAAATTAGAATATTAATATTTTATGATCTTAGCTATTATTGTCTCCCGAGGAACCATTTTTTAGAATAAGTACTAATGGATTAGCTGGTATATGTCATATTGAACTACCTCATGATGGAGATATGATAGAAAATTTTAAATGTCAAGCTGCGGCTACAACTAAATATAAGTTAGCACATATTAAGCCAGCAATGAAAGCATTATCTTGCGCTTATAAAACGTCTTTAAGAACAGACACTTGTGGATTATTATGTTTTCAATATATGATTAAAACTGAGGAAGGCAATGTGTGTTACGTCGAATATTATGTAAGAAAAATTCTTATTAGATTAAATCTTTGCACTATGATTTAACATGTAAAGTTATATATTATATTTTGTGATCTACTCTATTTATATTTTTGATGTTTGAGCTGTTAAATGTATCATAAATCTCACACGTTGTTATAGTGCAAGGAATTAATAATAGATGTAGATATAAATTATTATTTTTACATAAATATGTTTTAATTTTTTTTTTTTAGATTTCTCCAGTAATAGATATGGATTAAGAAGAATATTCTTAATAAAGGATTCCTTTTTTTTTATTTTTATATATAATATGTATTATTTTATAAACACGTATAAGGAAAATAACAAAGTAGTTATTTTAAAGTAATATTTTTTTATTGGTAGAAAAAACAGTGACAATTTCTTATAAACATATAATATGTGGCAAAATAAATGATTCGATTATTTTGTGCTAAAGACATTAAACGATTAGTAACAATATTCGGCTATTTTTTTTTTTTGTTATTTTTGCTAGTTCTTTAAGTTTATACAAAAATTTGCATTTGTCATCAAATGAGTAAAATTTCTTTAATATCATATCAGTTCTCTACATACTTGCATGTAATTTCAAAAGTAGACATCATTGTTAATTATCATAATGATAACATTAACTTTTAGCATCGTAATATAATAAATGAATTTTTGGAAAATTCATTTTTCTTTTTTTATTATTTAATGGATAAATAGAAGTTTTAATCTCCTATATATATATATATATTTGAAGCTTTTTTTTATGAGCAAAATTCTTGGTATGTTTAGAGTATGAATCGGGCAGCCAAGTTTTCTTAGACATTCCGTAAGAATATTAATTCTGAACGGTGTACACTCTAGTACAGACTATATCATCAACCTTCATTACCTGTAACGAAAAAATAATTACTTTTAATATTTATTTTAAACAACTCTATATATATATAATTTTATTTTTATTCGCGTGTATATTGTATTTTAACACCTATCCCATTTCGAAGACAAATATTTCTATTAAAAACTCGTCATTAGATCAGTTATGGTATAAACAAGTGTACTTAAACCATCGATAGAGATTTGATTGCATTTTCTTTTAGAATAAAAAAAAAGAGATATTTACCGCTTTCATTTCTGTTGCCGAGAATTCTCTTTCGATTGTGGTTTCCTTTTCTCCTTTTTGTATGTGCAAGAGCTTGTTGCCTTCCAAAGTGCAAACACTTTTTACTTTCCTACCATCAGGTGTCTCCTCTTCAAATTCCTCACCAAGTTTGAACTTAATTTCGGAACTTTTGAAAGGGCTGGTAGTTTTCAAAGTATATGTTCCGTCACTTTCAGTAAGTTCCACGACTGGATTCACACTGGCACCCATTTTTCTGGTTACTAAACTAACACCTGTAATTTCATATTTAATTATTCAAATAATTCAAATGAACGATGACATACATTTAATTAATGGTAATCAAAATTAGTATAGACTTATTTTTTAAATCATTTAAATTAATAATAGTTTCTCACCTAACGTTTTCATATATTCATCAAATTTGTCGCTAGATTGAAGCTTGTAACGTTTTCCCAAAATACCTTCCATTTTGTTTTTTTTTTTTTTTCTTTCAATTTCAAATGTCAAAATGATAGCCAGTAATAAGAAGAACGTGTAAACGATTGGATTCTCGTCGTGGAACTAAAGATTCATTTCGCGAACGTTTATAATTAATGTATCTAGATTGTGCGATAATGGTAATCTTTTAACTTTGCACTTATCACTCTTACAATGGATAATCATAATTGCTGATAAATTCTACATTTAAACTTTGTAGTTTGACCGATCACGGTATTAACGATTGAGTGCAATACACAGCGTTGAGATAGTGTAAGAATGATAAAAAAAAAATAAACCCCCCGGTAGAATGTTTTAATTTTGTTAATGAAAGTAATACGTGTTAGATGCGTTTTGGATCATTGCAGTAAAAATAAATGGAATAGTCCAATTGACATTGAAATATTTCTAAATTAAAATAAACAAAATGATGGATTTAAATTCATCATTTGAATGAATTTCTTCGAATTTTATGATATCTAATGAAAGATAATACATTTTCATTATCAATGATATCACATCATGGTTAGATTGTCTGATTGTGTGTGAAATCATTATCGATTATAATATTTAATTTGAAAGATTTATTATAAAAAGTCACTTGTGTGCTATTATTTTACGAGGCCGAAGTGCATCGATTTTTTTTCGTTTGTTTGTTCTCAGTGAAAGTCTCAACGTAAAAGAGAAAGAGAGAGAGGAGAGAGAGAGAGAGAGAGAATGTTAGTAAAAGTAAAATGAGGAGGGCAGTGACTTCTCATTGAAGATTTATTGAACATCATTTAAGCTCAATTTCACTGCTGTTGCTGCTCGATTCGTTGGGTTGTTGAGTATCCGTTAAAATATTAGGGTAAATGAACAATATTTCATAAGATATTGAAGAGTTAATGAACAATATCCGGTAAAATACGTGTAAAGGGTAAAATCTAAATAATCAAAATAAAATATTTCATGAGAATATTTTCAATTGCTTTGAATAGTTTTCACTTATTCAATGGTACCTTCTACATTAGGAAAAATAAAAAGTAGTAGTATTGATTTAATAATGTAATAATTGTTGAAGTAATTGTTTATTCAAAAAAAAAACAAAACAAAAAAAAAGGAAAAAAGATTTTATATTGACATAATTTTAAAGTGTAAAATTCGATGATAGATTATACAAGTTCAAAGTCTCACTTGGCTAGACCCTGACTTAGCACTTTGCACTTTGTACATCTGGCAATGAAATTGCGCGAAATAGAAAGTGCGAGAGAAGAAAGATATAAAAATAGAAACTATGAGGCATGTTAAATCGTGATCGAAGTTTATTTTTGTTTTTTTTTCTTTTCATGTAAATAATTTAATTTTTTTTATTTTAATTTAACTATTAATAGAAAGAGAGAGAGAGATGACTTTTAATTTCTACTCGTCATAATATCATTTGTCATATAAACGATCAAAGATTTATATTATATGAATTTATTTATCATCATTTGGTACGACGAGTATCTTTTCTTTTCATTTTTATCTATTAATAAATAATAATAATAATTTGTCAAAATGATAAGCAGTTTATTAATTGATTTTAATGTTTTATTATTACATAATGATGATTCTTAAAATAGTGTATTGAAATTTGTTTGAAATGATTTTCTATTTGAATAAACGTTATAGATTTAGATAGTAGACAAAAATTCTTATTATTAATTATTTAATTATATAATAAAAATATATTTTTAGCATAGTATGTAATACTAAAATATATCTAAATCAATGATTTTGATTGGTCCGATAAAAATAGGTGTATATAAATTATTGGTATAGTTCTAGTGTTAATAAAAGAACAATTTAGAAATGATGGAACAAGTATTCTACCAGCAACCATTATTGTTTCTCATTGCAGATACGTATATAAGTACTTATATACTTATATATATATATAAAAGTATTATATAGGTATATATACATGAAACAAGTTACCAGCAACGATTCGAACAGCAATTGCGATTTATTAATCTTCCTTGATAAATTAATTCAAGTACTAAATTGAAGCACAATCAGACTATGCAGCATTCATCATGGCCGACGAAACGGTGGGAATTAAACATGAGGTCAGGTCGTTGTACGAAAGACGAGAGCATAGTTTAACGTATTAAAATTGATTATCTTATTCGTCTTTCGAATGCTTCGTCGAATGTCCCCGTGTATGTTCAATCTCTCTCACTCTTTAACTTCTCAACGCATAATGCATTTATTGTCAATGCATTGATTTGAATTCTTTTACGAACAGCATGTTTTAATTCGATATTCTTTAGAATTATTATTCTCTATCTAGCTTTTCTTAATTTCAATTATTTCATTAGTTTCATTATTATTATTATTATCAAAAATACATTGAGAATAAACTAATTATCCTATTATTATAATTAAAAGTTTTAATAACTTTAGGTTTTTCTTAATAGTTTTATTAATTATCTGTCGAATAAAAAGATAATATAAATTAATTCAAACTTTTGGATAAAATCAGTTTTCACTGTATCAAGATTATTGTTAAATATTATAATTGATATGTTAAATGTTTAATTGGTCATACATTGAAATGGTGTTTAATAACAGATGTCTTATTCTATCCCATAAATACAATTTTACATATGTAGTACACACATTCATGCATACATATTTATGATTAAACATTGTTCATTATTTCTTCTATTTGATTGAATGAATTTTAATTATAATTTATAACACACAATGTTACTATAAATATGTACGTTGTAACAATTGGAATTAAGTGAAAACAAATGAAGTTTATGATTGAAAAAGTAATTGTTCTAATATTTAAACATTAAACATTATGAAACGTTTCTATAATAATGGTTGATTATACGATTATATTATCTGTCAATACGATTTATCTTTTTATTCGACAATGTTACGTAAAACAAAAAATAGAAGACTGAATAGGAATGACTATTTGATTGCAAGTATAATAATTTATAACTCATTGGTCATATCAGAAAACGTTTTTTTTTTTTTTAAACTTGAAACATTCAATAAATACAAATAATTTATATCTTATTATTTCTCTCTCTTTTTTTTTTCTTTTTTCTAGATATTAAAAGTTATTTTTATAAGTTAATACATATTTGAAATATATTTTTTACTTAGGATTTGTCATCAATTTGGTGACATTTTTAATATGACCGTAAACTGATACGATAAGAAAATTATATAAAATGATATAAATTGTTTTTTTCGAATATATAACTTGTTTTTTTTTTTTCCAAATGAGAGATATAATAAAATGATTAAAATTATTCAATAAATAATTATTATTATAATTTTAATAATAATTACAATTATGATAAAAATTTCAATTGGTAGATAATCGAATTGAAAATTGCATTTCAAATGATTATTTATAAGAAAATAATTATTTTAGATATCGTTTCTTATTGAACTCGTCAATACATGCAAGGTGTTATTAAGTATGAGAAAAAAAAAAGCGACAAAAATGTTCCATTGTAATAATCTTGAGCTAGGAAGGTAAAGACTGTCTGGAAATACCCGGTATATAAATTATGATCTTGAATAATAGATAAAGTTTGCATAGAATAAGAAATACGATGTAGTACTACTCTACCTTGCGGTTTATCTTACATCATTAACAGAGAGTATCAACTTTTTGTTGAATTGAAATTAAATATTTTCCCCTACGTAAACATCTAGAATTTACAATTGTCATATGTAGAATGTTATTTTTATCTTTTTTTTTTTTTTTTAGTAATTTTTTTTTCCCCAGTAAGAAGCATTCGTAATACATACGATCAAATAACCTAATGCTGAATATTCGAGATCGTTTGTTTATTTTTTGTTATGTAATCGAACTTTTAATTATTTATCTTCTTTTATTTTTTTTCTTTTTTTTTTTTTTTTTTTTTTTAAAGATATATCAAATTATGATTAATTTTTTTTTTTTAGAAATTCAAGATGTAATTATATAGGACTAGAATTATTATTCACAATAATTCATTTCAAAATGATTTCAATTTATGATACGTGTATGTATTTAAGACAATTTGTTTTTTATATTTTATATTTATTTAATATTATTTATATTTCTTATTCTCATATTGCAATAAGAATTGAAATTATCGATTTGTCAACCCCGCCTTTCTCTCTCTCTCTCTTTCTCTCACTCCTTAATTTGACTACTTCAAATAATTTCCACATTTCGAAATATTCCATCAATTTTATTTCAACATTAAAAGAACTAAATTTATTGATTTCTCTTGCCCTTTTCCCACCCATTCTCAAAGTTACCTGCAGATATCATACTTAGATAAAAAAGAATGGTTGATATTAAATCTACCAAATTTTCCATTACGTCATTATAGTATCAAAATAAGCTTTATCGATTAATCTTTTTCTCCCCACCCTTTTTTAAAATTACATATAACACTATATAACAATCTGTAGAAGAAATCAGTATAATTTTGACACAAATTAGATGAAATAAATTCTATAGAAATTGTCACAGTAATTCTATAAAATATATATATATATATATATATATATATATATATATATATATATATATATATACGTATATATAATGAAATAAATAAATGATTACATACCAAGAGCTTTCATAAAATCATCGAAATTCTCGCTGTTGGATAGCTTGTATTTTTTTCCGAGAAAATCCTCAACCGGCATGATGATGAGCGATCGATACTCTCTCTCTGAACAGCTAGGAGCTTGTAATAAAACCGCGTAACAAAAACAGGGTAAAGAAGGACAGGACCTCACTCGTGTTACACCGCAGGGTGGATAGAACTTGAGATGTTTTCTCTTTCCTGGACGATAAACGAATAAATGGAATAAATGATGTTAAAGATTGGATCAAAGACCAAAGATACGAACCTACTGTTACGGAGGATAAATCGTGTTCTGACTGACGAGTACGACTACGACTACGACGACGTATCCTGTGTCTCTTCTCTTTCTCCCCTCTTAACCACCCTACTTCTCTCTGCACCCTTCGCCGCCTCTTCTTTACTAAACCGAATATCCCCTCCTACCTAATATCCACCTCTCTTTCTTTATTTCTCTGTCTCTTTGTCTATGATTCGTATCCTGTCCAGAAATATGCTGCTTTCTCTCTCTTTCTTCTTAAATGATTTCAAATTCCCTCCTTTACTCTCTCTCTCTCCCCCTTTTCCTTCTCACACGTACGAAACTCCCACATAACCAAATATTACTCTCTTCATCGCGCTCGTTTTATTCTTATCATACTCTCTCTCTCTCTCTTTTGCTAGTTCCATTAGTTTCTTTTTCTCTTCAACTCACTTTCTTTCTCTTTTTTTTTCATTCCATTCTATCCCTCTCATTTTTTATCCCTTTTTCATTCCCATTCTACTCTCTCTCTCTCTCTCTCTCTCTCTCTCCCCCTTTTTTTCTTTTTGTTTCCTTTCCTCTACCTCTCCTCTACCTCTCCCCTATTTTCATAGCATTTGGGGTACGTCCCACTCTTTATTTTACAGCTGTGCCACCTTGCCTTTTCTACCTTTTTGCATTGTCACCCCACAAGCGTTATAATTTTTATTTTATTATTATTCGTTATAGCTTTCATATTTCCTTTTTACACCAGTTGCAATACATTTCTTTCTACACTTGCAATAATATATAATTTTTTTATCAGACACTTCCGTAATTTATCCTATCGGTTAAGTTTACTTTTGTGGCGTCTAACGCATGGAGCAATAGTTGTATCTTGTTTTTTTTTTTTTTAACTGTTATTATGATTACAACGCGTTTAAATCCGATAAGATATAGAAAGTAAAACACCTCGTGCATTTGATAATACGCACGAACGTAATACTATCTATTCCCATAGGTTTTCAATTACTCTATACATTGCAATAGTGTATTATACTTGCATATTTTTCTTTCCTATGGGAATATAAAGTTAAAAAACTATTATTGTTTTACTTTGTCAATTATTTATTTCAAAAGACGGTGATCATATTTAAATACAATTATTTATAAAATTGATATATACAATCCCATAAAAATAGAATAAAAGTGGAACAAAGAGAGAGAGAGAGAGAGAGAGAGAGAGAGAGAGAGAGAAAGAAAGAATTTCGTTTTTCTTTTTGAACATTATAGATTGAAATAATTTTCCTGCTTCTCGTATGACCAATCATATTACGATCATTTTAATGGTCGTTGGAACGGAGATGCGGTAACAAGGAACTTAACATACGCATTTGTTCCATAATTATTACTATCCGTTCGTTGTTCTCCTCCCACCTACGCCATTTCGTATCGTTTCTATAACGCACTCTACAATAGGCGGGAAGAATTACTCGCGCCATACAAAAACTTGATTCTCATTGGCCGTTGAAATCTGGCGCGTGCTTTATCTACCAATCCCTCCAAAGTTTAAATAATTCAATAGACGATGATTATTGGAGGACTTTTTCTGATTGCACACGATGCATTTACAAAATGTGCATTTTCGAACGTTTATGAATAATAACGAATTATTTTTGTAATGATTACGTAAAACAAATGCATGATTTTTATTAAAAATAAAAATTTATTTAAGATAATGGTTGCGTGGATGACGATAATTTTTGATCTTAAAGCAACTTTGTTGCATGTAATACTTATGACACGCGATCTTAAGTGTAAATATTCGACGATTAGATCTTATGAGGACGTTAATGAGATCTTTCGTCAATTGTACTGATGTCAAGGTAAATTATATTCTTGCGAAAAATACTCTAATGCATTTATCGTGTTCGTGAAGGATATGAAAGGTGTTTAAAGTAGAACTAGAATAAATACGATTTAATGAATGAATCATAAAAATGTAATTGAAAATGATTAAACATTTTATGTCTTATTGGACAAGTTGCTATTGGTGACATATGGTTTACCTGTATTTTACAATAATGTCATAATTTAAGTATAAATATTTAAAGATTTAGTTATATAAATAAGATAATGGAGATTTTTAATCAATTGCCTTGATCTTAAGGTAACTTAAATTCTGTACAAAAATATTGTAATTTATTTATCATGTAGACGAAAGATATTTACAGTGTAAGTTGTTTATAATGTAAATAAAGTAAGATTTAGTAGGTGAAATATACAAATATAGTTGACATTGATTAAGTATTGTATTCCGCATACGACAAGTGAGTATTGTCGTTGGACTACCGGCGTTCTGCGTCGATTCCGTGATAACTAGGAGAAGGCACGTAACGGTCGATAATAACGATGCGGTTTAAAATGGGCCGACGTGGCAGCGGCAAGTATTTTCGTCCACGAAATACCAAGAAAACGAGTTCGAGAGCCCATACCGATCACAGGATGTTATCAACGTACATGTATGTATAAAACAATAATTCTGTTATAGTTGGGTAATAGCAATAAACGGAAAATTGTTTCTCTGTGAACAAAGAAACGACAATTTAACCTTTTAACTACAGACGGATTCTCTGCTGCGGTACTTCCGCAGTACGACACGCTGCGCACGCGAAACAGTGCACGATGCAACTGCAGACGCTCATCGTATGTACGATTAAGCGACATTTTTAGCGGGAGCGACTATAGTCGCTCGTAGAACCTGAGTAGCATCACATGGAATTTTAATTCGTAATCAAGATTCTCTAATTCCTATTTCAATTTTTCTTTTTCAACCGTGCTGTCTATTCTCTTATCACGGTATAAATCTTTGTTTATGTTTATCATTTTTAATTTCTTTTAAATTATTAAAGAAATATATTTTCTTTATATATTTACTACTTATGTATATATGTATATACTGGTTGAAAGTAACTTGATCAGTGCAAATTCCGCTATTGCCGTTCTACTACTAATAACATACATATCCAAACATTATAAATTTATATGTATGCGTGCATTTATGTATGTAAATGAATGATCCGATAAGTGCAAATATAAGATATACATATTATCAAGAAACATGTAACTCTACTGTTATAATAAAATACTGTACATATTACATATTATATATAGGAAAAACGTGCGCACGTGTACGGTAATTTGGAGTAAGACAAGCAATATAAGGTCGAGCAAGGAAAAAAAAGGTATAATAATAATCATAAGAACAAATAATGAATACAGGTGTTGTTATAGCTGGTATAGGTCATCGGAGATTTGGCAACATCGCTATGTAGCATCGACGATGGCAATGGCGGCGGTATGATTCCGCTCCGCAATCGCAACCGCACACCCGCCTTCTACTGGCCGCCATGATGCCAAGCGAAATACGCCGTGCAACGGTTTCTCCGCAGTGACGCTCAAGCTGCCGTCAACGTAGCAACAACGTTACGCCATTTGCGGTACCGCGTTTCCTACGAACATGGATTTGTAAAAACCCCTGCCACTAAAACGGTTCTTCTTCGTTTTGTTATTTACAAATCTATATATATATATATATACTTATATATTTTTTTTTCGTCGTATTTTAATAACACATCGTCGATCGATTCGGTTTACCTATCCTCCCCCCCCCCTCAGTTCTTAGTTCAATTTCTCTCGATTTCTATCGATCTTCAAATTTTTTATTCATATTTATATTATACGTGCGAATTTTAATGTAGTAAGATCGAATCTTTTGAATTTGATGATCGCTTGGAACGATTTACCGAGAGAGGGGATAGAGTGACGAAGAGAGGAAGCGAGAGAGGGGAAAGAAAGAGAGATAGATAGAAAGAGAGAGAGAGAGAGAGAGAGAGAGAGAGAGAGAGAGAGAGATACACTAAGTACGGTGACAATACTAAAAAATATCAAACATGTTCGACACGGAAAAATTTATTGAAGAGATCGAGAAAAGGCCGGCGATCTACGATGTGAATCGTTGCGAGTACAACGACCGTAACGCCAAGATGAGGGCGTGGGAAGAGGTTTGTCAGGTGATGGTACCAAACTGGTGGCGGTTGTCTGACGAGGAGAGAAATATAGAAGGTATAGATACAAAGCATGCACGTTATCATCGTCGTCGCGTTAAACGATCGATCGATCCGGATTCCTCTCCTAACACGACAAAATTACTCATACCAATTGCACTTTCACTCTTTTTATTTTTCCTTTTTTCTTTTCATTTCATTAATTCTATTCATTAATCACGTTATCATCGGATATTTTTAGAGTCAACAACTGTTTCAATTTGCTAAATTTGAATTTCATTTGATTGTCTTCTCTCCCCGCGCCCTTTTTTTAAATTTTATTTTCTGTTCACGTTTGAATGATTAGCGCTTCGCGCTATGTTTCTATTTCTTTTTTTTTTCTTCTTTTTTTTCTTGTCCTTTCCTTCCCAAATGATGTATATTTGATGTGTACACTCTTTTTTTTTAGAAAAGAGTTTGAGAGGAAAGTGGAGAAATATACGGGACTATTTTATGAAAGAGTTCAAACTACAGCTGCAGAAATCTCTTAAACCGGATTTGGTACGCCGGAAGCGGAAAAAGTATATGTACTATGATCAACTGCTTTTTCTCATGCCCATCGTTATGGACAAACTACGGTACTGATATTTTTTTTTTTTTTTTATACACATTGTATATAACAAATGTTTGAAGTATCATTTTTTCTTTATATATTATTGATTTTTATATTACACAAACAAAATTGAGATTATCTTACCTGCAGTCGATATTTTGTCTTTTCTTTTCTTTTTTCTTGTTCATTTAATGTATTTCGTAGGGTTACGAGTACAGCTGCATCTAATGTATTCCCTAATACAGTACAAAATCAAATAAAATCAGAGGAAAGTGAAGGGGAAGTGGATAATCCGGTGATAGAGGAATCAGACGTTCCATTAGCCCACGCTGTTCCATCTTTAACAACTGAAAGAGAATATGTGCAAACTAACGAATCTTTCAAAATGTCTCCATCAGCATTCCCTGATACAGTAAGAAATCAAATTAAAACAGAGGAAAGCGAAGGGGAAGGGGATAATCTGGTAATAGAGGAATCAGACGTTCCATTAGCCCACTCTGTTCCATCTTTAACAACTGGTAGAGAGTACGTGCAGACTAACGCATCTTTCAAAATGTGTCCATTTTATCCGAAGCAATTATGCGAAACATCTTTGGCGTCATTTGATAATGAGATTCATGATATCTTATCCTCTCATAGAGGTCAACGTGTAACAATCGACGAGGAAGATTACGACAAAATGTTTTTATTGTCATTGTTACCAACCATGAGACGAATACCGGAAGAGAAAAAGTTGGACGTTCAGATACAAATACAGCAGGTATTGGCATCGACATTACGTCCCCCGGATGATAAATAATCGACGATGAAGATGGTCTTTTTTTTTATGTTTTATTTTATTTCAATTCAAAGATGAATTACTTTACTGATGGAAATCTTACAAAGATATATATATATATATTTTTATTTTTATTTTTATTTTTAATTAAGAGAAATGAATATTTGTGCCGATCTTATACCTCATGTTTTAGATTAACGACAAAATGATGTATAAAGAAGTTATACATTAATATTTGTATGTATAGCTAATGTTATTGAGATGCCTTAGCACGGTATCTTGTTGTTTTTCTTCTAATTGTATCAATTATTATTAAAAATAAGACGAGATAGCGTGCAATAAGAATACCTTTATCTGTGATGTTACATTTACAGATTATAGAATATGAATGAAATGAAAACTTTGAAACCATATCGTGCTATACGGTATAAGATGTATACAAAATAATACAGAAAGATAAATATATCATATGAGCAGGGTCTTTGCGTAACGATATAGAAAAGTATCATGCTGTATCTGAAAATATTTTACAATTATATAATTGTATTTTTAAACAATCAATTTATTCTTGGAAATATTTTATATCCAATTTTCCTTTTTTTTTTTAATTTTATTTTTCTTTCTATTATCCAATAGTTTATTTGATCATTTTCTGCAATATTGGGATTTCTAGCACTTGAATACGCCATCTGGTGGCTAAATTCAAAATTAGAGTACGCCCCATGTCCCTGCTAGAGATTGCAATTGAGCTCTGTTTTAACATCCGTGATAAATATTGGAACACTTGTTTACCAACGTCAAACAATTTAGATAGCATTGTAGTTGTGTAAGATGATAAATGTGTTTTTATGATAACGTACGAATACCTTTTTATCGTCCGCGATAAATGTAAAGTAGTAAACTTACATACTAGCAAAGATATTCATCGAAAATGTTGATCGTAATGCAATCGTTTCATTTTCAGATGTCAGATGCTTTTACTGTAACGTTATACTTTCGTTTTTACTGATCGAGTTTTCAAAAATAACGAATATGATTTAATTTAATATGTTGCTTATTATTGGAGATATAATTTAATTTAATGTATTCTTTAAAAAAGTCTTAGACATACACACATCATCGTTGCAAACACACTTTTCGTCATTATCTTGATAATTTAAGAGTTTAGAGTTAATGGTAGAAGGATTTTAAGTATGGTAAAAGGTCGTAAAAAATTTCCCCCTTTTTCAATGAGCCAACATTTTATTAAAAGTTACCCCTCCTTTATGGGATTATTAATAAAATGGTTAAAAACCTTATGAGATTCGTAGTAAGCTCATGTAAATTTACAATAACGGAATCGTGTTAAAGGATCATTTGAAATTGACATTTTTAACGGTGCGATTTCAAAGAATATATCAGTTCAAAGAAAAAGAAAATTCGCGTATCTATGGTGATACCTTTGTAATATGGCTTCACTGTAGGTTGTAATATGATTTATTCGCGATAGCTTTGAACAATGTTATTTTATCCAAAGCTATGAAAAATATAAACGAGAATATTAACTCGACGTAGAGCGACCGTTTGAAACTTTTACCCCTAACAAAAAATATACAATTAAAGAGAATGTAAAACGATAGGAAGACAGAAATGCGTGATAAAATGTTTACGATGCTTTGTTAAAAATACGAGACTTACAATTAACCACGAATTTCAAATTTTTTTAATAAGCTAACGTGTACTTTATTTGTATATTTTCATAGATCATAATCCATTTTATGAAAACTCATTTCATCAATAATCTTCATTTGTTTTGACCAATATAATTTTGTACACTTTCCTATATATCCCTTCGTTCTGTATTCCATCGAGTATTTTAAATAGATTTTCTTGACTCGTGGTATATTCATTCATCCATCAATCATATATAAACTTCCAATTGTTATTCTCGTTTGGTTTGCATAGAAGATCCCTTGTTAACATCGGCCCTTAGGATTCCGCGGATCACTAATGAACGTATTTGAACTTAATCAATGGCTAGGTCTCGGGCATTGTTCGTGCAAGGCTAAACGAAGCAGCAACTAGTGGTACTACTGGTGGTCGAAATACCACCACTCGGTTCGACTTCAGCCAACTTTCTTTTCCCGTTCCCGTTCCCGTTCCCGGTAGTTGTTGTCTCTTTCGATAAACTCGCGTTTTCCTTAACTATTATTCCCTTTTCCTTCCTTTTTTAGCCCTGCACCCAATCAAATATCACCACCATTACCACCACCATTAGCAACCTCCTTCCAACCACCCTCATCCAGTGTTTCTCTTTCTCTCATTCCCTTCCCTTTTCCTACCGTTTTTGTAGGTTTCTCTCTCTCTCTCTCCTCTCTCTCTGTTGTAAAAGCCTTCTCTCTCTCCCCTTTTGAACCACCCTCTCCCCGCCATTCTTCTTCTGTTCTCCCTCTTTCGAACGCGTCGCGCGTTTCTCTGGCGCGCGCGTTCTTCGGCCTCTGGAGCAACCGACAGCGTCCGTTGAGCTGTTCCAGACTTCAGTCTACCTCGAGAACGCGATACCGTCGGGACCTTGAGGGGAAACCTTTGAAGGAGGTCAAGGCTTCCTTACCGATTCTACTACGTCGATCATTATTTTCGATCAAAGGAATACACTTAAAACGAATGTTGTCAAAAATAAAAAAAAATATTTGTTATACGATTACAAATTGTTTAATCGAACAATTTTGTTAGATCTGTTTATCGAGAAGAAGATCCTCTTTTTTTTTCAATCGATATCATATTGATCGGGATTCAATTGTATTCTCACAAGTTTGATTTTTGAATCGACAGATTTCAAGTTCATCTACATTGTCATTTATTATTATTATTATTATTATTATTGTTCATACGTTATAAAAGGAGTAAAAAAAAAAAAAAGAAATAAGCACACAAGTCGAGTCTTTCTTATTTAATTGTCAATTTGTGTCAGTTCATTAAGTTTGTTGTATTAAATGCAAATTTAAAATAAAAACGATTGGGGTTACGTGTAATCGTTGTAAAATTAAATTAACGAATTTTCGATTGGCCGACGTATAATAAGGGAAGATAAAGTAAGAAGGGTGTTTATTCGGAAATTGAGGAAAGTTGTTGCCCAGAATCGGGGGACGTTGTCCGTTGTTGCCCGACGTTGGAGCCGGATGTTCGCACGGACAAGACGCCGAAAGCGCTGCCATTTTGGAGAGCAAAATGTTCACGGCAGTGAAAAAGTTCCTTACGACATCCCCTTTGGTTAACAAAGTCAAGTTTCTAATGGTACGTTATTAATTTATAATTGTTCATAATAATTATAATTGATCATTTTTTCTTTTTTTTTATATATTAATTATTCGAGAGATTATTTGATTTATTTGATACTTGTACCAATTTTGTTGGTGATTATTAAGTTGATCGTTTGTTAGAAATTTGATTCGACACACAGTACTGTTATAAAATTAAATATATACAGGTTACCTTCTGTAACTATTTTAATTTAATTAAGAATTCAGATACTTTGAATACAATCTTATTAATAATATTTATAATTAAAACGAAAGATATACGAGCCTGGTATATGTTAGTCTTTTCTACTTCGTATCATTAAGAAGAACATTTTACACTCGTACTACTTTTCTTGATTGTATTAAAATTCGTTAAGTTAAACCAAACCAATTGTCATACTGTTTTATATCATACTAATTATCTAAGTACTCTAATAGTTTTCTTTATTTCTTCTTTCATCCAAGATATTTAAAAGTTTCACAATTTTCTTCAACTTCTGCGCCTTTTGCTCAACCTATCGAAATGAATTTGCTTAAAGAAAGCACGTTAACTATTTCCAGTTTCATTTCCTTAAGGATTAAGATAACTCGTACGACGATCTTATCGTCATTGCTCTTAAACATCGATTTCCATTTTCATTCTTATTATTCGACCATTTACTTTCGTACTTTGTGGAAGATGGTTGTAGAGTTATCCATTTTTTTTTTAGGAAATTCTTGATGAATCATTCATGACGTTATGCCATTGATTTTATTTTTTTGTAACACGTTGCTGATGTTTCTATTTAAAACAGTGTATCCCAATCTACAAAAATTCTTATTTATTATATTTCAATAGAATTATTTTCATCTTAGGTATAATATAAACAATTGAATCATTTTAATAATAATATTACAAATTATATGACATTTGTATTTAATTAATGAATATAATGAAATGTTTATATTATTATTTATATCAGTATTTAGTAATTGTTAAGTATTTAAATAAGGTACGACTTGAAAAGAAAATAAAAAATGGTTGGGAAACACTGGATTAGAGACGTTCCTATAACATGTCAACGATAACACAAGCGCTCATTTGTCAACTCTATGGCGTCCTTATCGTCAACGCAAGGAGAATACACTAGAGAATTTCATTTTATCCGTTGATAATAATAACGAATCACTCTTTGAGACAAAAGGTAGAATGCTCTTTGAACTCTAATAGAAATCGTACGCGAGAGCTGTTTTCGGTAATATTCAATGAAATTATTAACGATACATTAATCTTTATTTCAATATTTCATTTAATCGATTAACACAATTCAAATGTATTAATTATCAAAGAATTTGTTGTATAATTTTTATCAATGTTTTTTTTTTCTTTCTTTTTTCTCGATATTATACAATACAATTTGTATTATTTGTACGAAAGAAATTAATTGAACAATAATTTGTATGAAATGTAATTAATTTAATTAATCAATCAATCAATCGATTGTTTCATAACATCGTCGTTACATCGAAAGAACAAATTTTGTCGAGTTTCAAAAGTTAGTGTAGTAATTTTGTTGTTTTCAAAACAAAAAAAGTATCATTATGAGATTTACAAAAAGATCTTTTGAAAAATAATATAAAATGTAGAAAGAAAAGTATTCGTCTTTGTTATGGTGGATTATTTGAAAGTAGAAGAATGCACGTACCGAGTTAGAAAATAATGTCGTTGGGGAAGTTCTTGGTTCGATGGGATGCATACCTTTCGTGATGTTCGTTCTCTTATGTTGGTTCTTCTTATTACATAAGGGAAACATACGTACATTTACATTCTTTGAAGAAAGTGTCTTTTTTTTTTGTCTTTTGTATGAACAATGCCAAGAGATAGGTATATATACTTAGAGACATGTGTAACATCACAATGAGTCTGTAGACAATTTTTTGAAGTGAAAACTTCTGTAGAATGGGAGTTATCTGAAAAGTAAATAAACGAAAATGGAGCTATGTAACGAAGAAATGAAACGGAGCTATGAAACAAAACTATGAAACGGCTGCTATATTAAATAATGAAAGAAAAAGAGACAAACATATAGGATTGTGTAATATGTTATGTATTATATGCCAATAAACGTAAAATAATTTTTGAATATGGTAACAATATTATAATAATAATATTATAACAAATAAACCCTACAATTATCCTACACCTGATATTCTGTATTCATCTTATTCTCTCGAAACTTAGTTTTTTGAAGGTTTCACTTCTAACACGTGTGATCTGTGCACACATGTGCATTTTTCTCTTCAAGTTTGATATTATTTTTTAATCATTTTCATTTCTTTCATTTCAAATACTAAACATTAGAATGAAAACAAAAAAATTGTTAAAATTAGAACGCGTTTTAATTTTAAATTCTTTTTATTAGAAATATTCTAATCGTTGTACACATGCGTAACATTCGGAAAATCATATAAACAACTTTCTATATAAGAATTTTGACAGAGAGGACAACGTATCAGTTTGAAGGTGAATTTCGAAGAGGAAGGTACATAGATGAATAATTCTAAGCTTTTCAATAATAATAGATATTTCTATCAATTAATTAACAATTATTTTAATACTTTCATGTATTCTACTTGTATTAGAATAGTTATTATGCACTAATTACAATTTTTACTCTCAGTACAGTTTATTTTATATACCGCATAAATGTTGAGTGGTTTTTTTTTTTTGAACTCCTTGTATATTATTTTTATAAATATTATTAGTAATATTGTTATAATAAGATGTTTTGTAATATTAGGAAACTATTTCAAGAATGTGCAGGAGATTAATTTAAAAAATTTCATATCATTCATTTGATTTTGTTTCAGAGTAATTTTCACTTTTATGTTTCAATAATTTTTGATATATATATATATATAGATATATAATTATAATAATAATAGTAAAAATAATTAGTAATGTTAATAGTAGTAAAAGAAAGGGGGTGGTGCGATGACGTGAATTGAAACAAAAAATATATAAAAAAGAAACAACGAAAAATCTTTTTAAATTGTAGAAACTGTATGAAAAGTAAATTCATTGAATTCTATCGTGACTTTTTAACGAGCCACTTAAAATATGAATTTCCAATGGAAATGGAAAATTATCGGGTTAACGTTGAAAATGAGACGGTTATTTTTATTTTATTTGAAGTTTGTTGAGTATAAGCACGGTAAATTTATAGAGGATGTTTCAGAACGAGTGTTACAATCAAATAAGGTGTTTAGGGAATGATATTAAATGAAATAATCAATCTAAATACAAACATGTAACATTTTTGTAAAAATATATATATATTTTTTTTTATTCAATCGTAGGTATTGGTTGGGGGAAGAAATAAACGAACATTTGAAAAATTTTCTTCGATCATATCATACATTATTATAAAAATAAATACTTGTTGATGTATTATTATGCATTTTTGAGACACACTGTAGATATTTTGGTTTATGCATATCGGTATATGCAAATGATAACGAAAGAAATACGTGTATCGTTATTTTTTAGTACTAGCAAAAGATTCAATCTTAATTTGAACCACCGTTCAGAGTTGTGCCCCGCATTGAAATCCCTCGAACGCGTGGGTGTAATTATATATATATATATATATAATATAATATCGAATGACGTACATCTTATTTTAACTATACATTGCATGTATTATTGATTTTATCGTGGTTTCCTTTATGTAACTTTTATTTTTTTATATTTGCAAAATATTTCATTACAAATGAAAAACAAAAAAAATAAAATAATAGGATAGAAATTGTCAAACGATCAAAATGATGATAATCAAATTTGAAATAATACTTCAGAAACTTTGAACATATTTTAATTGATTCATTATTGTGTATATGTAATAAAATTTAAATTCTATGACGTATATTATTATTTATTTTTATTACATGCATTTATTTTTATGCAACGTTTAATAATAAAAATAATAATAATAATAAAACATATGTGCATATCACACAAGTTAGATATAAAACCTTCAAATAAACAAATTTCGAGGACATAATTTATTATATAATATTATTTGTACTTTAAATTGGTAATTATTTATTTAATTATTAATTTAATTATAAAAATGTGCGCCTGTTCGTATGCAATCCTCCAGACACACTTTGAAAATGTTGCTTGCGAGCGACATCTACTGGGACGGAATTTTTTTGCAGTCAAAACTGTTTATACACGTATGTATGACGGGTTGCCTATCTTTTGGGCAGAAACAAATTCCGTCCCGACAGATGACGCTCGCAAGCAACATTTTCAAAGTGTGTCTGGAGGGTTGCATTCATACAGGCCCCCGTAATTATTTTTATAATAATTACAAATAAAGTAAATAATAAAACACTTAAAAAAAAATGTTTGCAAATCAAATATTTTTTTAAATAATAATATGTTTATCTCTATTTTCTCTTCTTACGTAGTATTAAGGCCGTTTCTTTCTCCATTACATCCCGGTTTCGTTTTTCTCATTACATCACCGTGTTTCATTTTTTCAAATTACATCCATTCTAAAGAAGTTTTCACTTAAAAAAAAAAAAAAACAAAAAAAAGATCATTCAATGGATTTATTAAAAATAATACAATTGTTTCATAAATAATACTGCATTTAATTTACATTTCCTTTTAATTATAAAATCGATAATTAATTAATTATAAATTCGTAATATAATTCAAACGAATATGAATGAAATTGGTATGGGGAAAAACAATTGCTACGAGAATATTTCGCGTCGTTGTAATTTTTCAATGTTTTAAATAATCATTTATCTTCTTTTCCAAAAAAAAAGAAAAAAGAAAAAAGTACTTGAATATTCAAAAGTAACGTATAAAAGAACGATAAATTATTTTACAATGTAACATGATGTAGAGGGTTTGAAAAGTTCAGAGTTTAATTATGCAGAGAGAGAGAGAGAGGGGTGTAAATTTTCGTCATGATTTTGGAAAGGTTTGCGAAAGGTTTG